GTAATTTCTCAAAATTCCAGAGATGCCCTCGTCCTTCTGTACGCGCGGCCGCCCCGCCCGGTTTACACCGCCTTGGATGGCACAGGTGCGTAAATTTGACTGATCCCGAGGGCTATTTTGGGGCTTTTAGTGTTGGTCTGAACGGTGGGTGTTTTTGTAATTTTGTAGGGTATTTGTTTTCGGCGGATGTTGTGGCCGCGTTGGAGAGGTATAGTAATGACGTGGCGGAGGCCGTTGTCGAGAAGGCCAACAGGCTATGTAAAGATCTACAAAACGTAAGTGTCTTATTATTATTATTTTTTAATTTTTTAATGCGAAATTCCATTTCTACCCTTGGCATTGCCTTTTGAAGATATCAAATTTTTTTGGATCCGTTCGTTTCTGATTTTTTGTTTTCGTTTTCTTTCTTTTTATTAAAGAAAAAAAGAAGTAAAATTGCATGACTCCCAACAGGAAACAAATTTTTTATTTATATTGAAACGGGAACGAGGGAAAAAAATTAGTTTTGTTGTTTTCTAAATTCTTATATAATTTTGAACATTTTTCTAAAAAATGAAGAATAAGAAATATAAAATAAGTATCAAATTAATAGTGTTGAAAAGAGAAAAAAGAAAAACAAGGAACTTTACCAAGGTTGTAAAGTTTACTAAAAAGGAGTTTCTACTTTCTACTATATCTCTGGATAAGTCAATTCTTTACCAAGAAAAAAAATATTTTTTTAGTACAAATAGGTTCAAATTCATAGTGTTAATTATCCATTATTGAACTATATTACTTAAAAAAAATAAATTTAATAACTTACCGATTAGAAATTTTTGTAAAATTTGAAGTTTAGACGCTACTTCAAAGTTTGTGGGCCATATGAGTTACATCAATTTGAAAAAAGAAAATGAAAATGATGAATTTTGGGTKTGGGGACAGGTGAAGGTGGAGACGAAAGTTGTAAGTGGGGACGCAAGGGAGGTGATCTGTCAAATGGTGGACAAATTGGATGCTGACGTGTTGGTCATGGGTAGCCACGGCTATGGTCCTATCAAAAGGTTAGTAATTTCTAGTGGTCCATTTCGTTTTATGTTTTTACATGTCACGTGTGTGTTCATTTGTTTATGTTACGTAAATTTTGTAAACATTTTCAAAATAGAAGTCAAATTTTTAAAATGTGATTGAAAGACCGAACACAAGAAAAATAAAATAAAAAATAGTCATTAAACAATACCTTAAACTTTACATTACTATATTTTTTTTTAATTAATCTATGAAGGTGGCATTCGAATTTGACATTTTAATCGATAATATATGTCTTAAATAATTAGGTTCAAGTTGGCTTACAATTTTAAAAGTTTGGTCTTTAATTTAACTTCAAATTTATATAATTTAAAATCAGAAACCCTAAACTTGTGTAATGTAGGTCTAAATTGGGTAGATAAACGAGTTGTCAAGTTTAAACTTATATAAATTAGGTTTGATCTTGATTCATCTTTGACCATTGTATTCTCAAAAAGGTTCATTTGGTCTCTATACTTTATTTTAGTACATTCATTTTTATTTTTATCTTATTTCTTTTAGTCGCAACACAATTTCGTGAAATGTACCTATTAAATTGTAGTAGAGGATTTTTAGGTGTAAAATTTATGTTAAATTTTTTGTAAATAGAAACTAAAATATGATCATTTTTTATAAAATATTAAAGGCTGAAATGAAAAAAATTGTAAATATGAAATAAAAATAGAGGTTTATAAAGTACAGTAATGACATATAAACCTATAAATTATATTTAATTTTTGGGGTTAAAGTTAGAAAAATTTGATGTGTAATTAGAGAGGTAAATTTTGCAGGGCATTTATTGGGAGTGTGAGCAACCACTGTGCGAAGAGCGTGAAGTGCCCCGTTTTGATAGTAAAGAAGCCTAAAGACTGTGGAAACAAATAGAATTATCCTCTATTTTTCCTTTTTTTTTTTTCTTTTTCCCAGCAATTTGTACAACTTTTATTATTTTCTTTTTAAATTGAAGTCTTGTAGGTGTGAAGTTTGTGTAATTATTGAAAAAACCCAGCTGACTTTTTATTCTATTTTCTAGTTTATTATTAGAATAAGTAAGTCAATTTTTTAGTATTTCACATCGACGATTTCGGTTTTTAATTTTCTGTCTTAAGATTAAATCGGTTTTTAATTTTCTGTCTTAAGATTTATCTGGAAGATGGTAAATAAATACCTAAAGAAAATGCTTTAGAAATATGATATATTTAATAATATTTTTTAGGATCTGGACGATTAGATTTAATGACTTATGTAAAAGAAATATTTAGAAGTATATAAAATCCAAAGGATTGGATTTATATAAAATAAATATTTGGAAGTGGAAAGTCTATTTTTGTACTTTCTTCTGGCGAAACTCCAAAGAAAAATTAGACCACTTAAAAAATAATAGTTTCGAATTTGGCGAAGAAGTTGACAAAATTTTTGTTCGGTAACTTAACATCTCCTAAAAATAATAGCTTCCTTTATGGCTTGTTCTGCAGCATGAGCAGCAAGAATGTTCTTTTTCTTCGCAGAAACGTCTCACTATTTGGTTTGGATTTGGGGTTTGCACCACCTTCTTCTGTTTTCTTTTTTCACATTGCACCAACCAATCTGATAATGGAAAACTTTTAATTCGACCCATTACTCTAAAATACTAAATTTTAGATGTAGATAGCGCGCCAAAAAAAAAAAAGTAGTTTCCTTTTTTATGATATAACAGAAAAGCAAATTTATTCATTTCTGTTTAAAGCTAGTAGTAAGTCATGAAAGTCATCTTGACGGTTAAGTTTTAGACAGTTAGTGCTATAGAACTCAGGGGCAGTCGGAAACCTCCGAGATCTGTCCCATTCCTACATTTAATTGCAAGCTACATAACTAGGATTTGAGTAAGATTTTTTTTAATCAAGAGTTCTTCAAAAAGGACATGAACAATGAAATATTTGTTTCTGCTGCTCTACCTACCTTCATACAAGATTAAAGCTACTCCCACCATAAAGCATTTAAAGTATGTTGCGACTTTTTCTCTAAAAGCACCATTTCTTATTTTAGAAGGTTTTGGAGGAGAAGTATTGAGATTTTACCTTAAATCAAAAGTTGTTCAAAATCTCAGCCCTATTACTTAGAACAGACCATCTAAATCCCAAGATGAAAATTAGAAGTTAGGATCCAACAAGAGAATAATATTTCGTTAATCAATTATGAGAATTCTTTCAAGAAAAATCCAACACAGGATCCTTTGGTTCATCAAACTGTCCTATTCTCTCTCTTCCTAATGGCTCAAAATAAAACTGAAATTCAAGCAAAACCAGTCATTTTTGCATAAAAGCATCAGACTGGTCTTTCTTCTCCAACGGATAACTCTACAACTAGAAAGAGGAAAAAAAAAAAAACAAAGAGGGGAAAGGGAAAATTTCTGCAAGTGAACTCCATGTGCTCTCTCCTTACAGTTCATCCTGCAAAGAATAAATCCATATGAATTGTCAGGAGATAATATGCTAGAACTGGACTTGGATCCTTAATATTTGAATAGGGAATAAAAACCTACATGTTTGTCTTCCTCCTCACTCTCGGCTCCGTCATCCTTTTTGTCTAAATCTGCCTCTACATCAGAGTCAGCATCGTCTGCTTTGTCTTCGTCCTCATCCTCGACCTAGATAGAAAGAATGTATTAAAATTATATCACAGAATGAATCATCTCAAACGCTGTAATGTTCAAAGATGGAGTTTCTCTATGATACTTACATCTGAGTCAACGGGATCACTCTTGGCTTCCTGGTGAATGAACAAATTCAACAGTTAAATGGCATGTTTCAGGTAAACGATAATTTAGTTCATAATTATTAAATTTGTTTTCTATGAATAAAACGAAAAGCTTTTTACTTCGAACTATATTATTTCAGCAGTAAAAGAACAAAAAGATTACCTCCTCCTCTCTCTTCTTCTCTGCCTCATCGAATGCAGCTTTCTCCACCTTAAAGGATGCACGAAACTCAATCAGAAACGAGTAGATAAACTATGAAAATAAACCATAACAAGAAAGTTTAAAATGTACCTCCTTGTGCTTGCCCCATGTTTCTTCGGCAACCTTCTTTGCATATTCAGGGTCATCGGTAATCAACACATTGTCAAACAAGGTGCCTGATTTTACCTGATATCCAGTAATTTGGGTCATCATCAATGTACGAAACTAAGAACAAGACAAATAAATAATCAGAAGTGGTTTTAAAAAAAGAGGGAAAACGTACCTGCCACAACTCAATACCAACGTATTTCAAGTTGGGGTAAACATAGAGCTCGGGGTCATCCTTAAAATCTGCAAAGGGTTCAAAAGAATTAGAAACAAAAGTCTTCCAACGAACTGATGATCGTTGCAACATAACTGAGGTTAAAAACAGCAATAGAAAACAACCTGGGTTGTCAATCAATGGTGCCTTCCACTTCCCCTTGTAGTTAGGGTTCTTAAGTTTCTGCAAAGAACAAAAAATGATATTTAAAATTCCCAAATAAAGAAATGGAAAACGAGATAATTTTAATCTGCATAGATTAGCGTGAAGAAGGAACAACATAACCCTACCTTAGGTTCCCATGGTCCCTTGTATTCCGGATTGGGAATGGTTGGAGCCACCCATTCACCATCTTCCTCATCATCCCAGTCTTGTGGCTGAAACGAGTAGCTTGGCACATTAATAACAGAGTTTCTCCTTAAAAAGATAGCTAAAAGGAAAAAATTCAATAGCTACCTTAGTGGCATCAGGATCAGTTATCTCTTTAGGGATGTCATCATACCCCTGTTACATGAAACAAGTGAATCTAAGAATACATATACTCAAGATATATGTTGCAAATTTGGATACCAAGCGGAATCTAGATAACTAGGGTATCATTACCTCTGGCTTCTTATCTTCTGGATCAGGAATGTACTCCTTGTCATCCCAATCCTCTGGCTGCAAGTAGCATACATAGAGACATCATTAAGAATCCACAACCTCAAACATCATCCTTAAATGGGCTCCACATTAATGTGCTTATAGTGTACTTACCTTCTTGGCTTCGGGATCCTTAATCTTCTTTGGAGGGAGGAGGCTCCAATCACTGTACAAACTACCTGTTTGCTTCTCTACATTATCAATGAGGATGCTGTAAGTAGCATCAGGGCGAATGATGAAGGTGTAAACATGAGTGAGTTGGTCAGTCTCACAGGGAACTTCCTTCTTGATCAAGTGATTAGTGTCATTATAGTTGAGAATAGCATGCACTTTCTTAGTACTGTAGCCACAGATATCTGGGCCAAACATGATGCTGCAAGCAACAAGAAAATCGTAAGAAAGTCAATACAATATTTTCCATGAATAATAACTAATAAACAATGAATGAATAAAATGAAACTTCACAGGGTTCAGTATTAACCTGTAAGGAGTTTCACCACCGAATTTCTTCTGATCAACCTCACCACTGAGTAACTTCATGTAACCACCACCGCAGTCAAGCTTCTGTTCGTGCTTGACGGAAAATTGGAAAACAAGAACATTATCTTTGTTGCTGAATTTAGGGAACTCAGCTGAGATAGCATAGAATCTGTAGTCTTCGCTAGTTTGGATACCTAGGACATCAAAGGAATATAAAATAAACTAAATATTGCTTGAAACCATTCAAACTCAGGTATGCACCAACCATTACACACGGAAAGTCAAACTAATGTTATCAAATGGACATAGTAAGAGCTTCACCTTTGTCATTAGGATCTCCGTGCCATTTTCCAGAGGTGTAGTTCCATTCTCCTGCTAAACTTTTGTCTCTCTTCCAGTCAGATTTAACCCACCTACTCTCCCATCCATCTTTAACATTACCAACAAATATAGTTAGAATTTGAAATAAGATCACGACTAGATAGCAACTGATGATAAAATGCGAAGGATACAACGCAGGATAATCACAGACATCAAGTTCTAAATAAGATTCATATTCCAAAACCTATGGAAATGTATCAGAAAAGGATGATCGACACAAATTATATAGATTTTATAATAATAAATGGTGCGCATCCACTAAAGAAATAACGATATCCATCACCAAATTTTAACAGTATATCTCATTCTATTGGAATCCATTTCAAGACATCAAAAGCCTTCATCAAAGAGTACCAATATTTCAACATATCAAACAAATAATTCAAACATTTCATGATTCTCAAACGAAGAGACATAAATAAATTAAACGGATCTACGCCGAATAATCTACATTGTGACCTCAACATTAAATTCAACACGATTACATTTAGATTATCAACAGATCGAAGACAGGATCAGACAAGAACAATACAGCCGATCCATCACAATCAACTTCCAAATTCAACTTCAACTGTACAAACGTACGGTCCGAATTGATCGCCATCTAAAAATGCACGTAAATTACGAAGCCAAGAAAAATGGATCTAGAAATGATTTAAAACAGAGAGAGAAAAAGAAATTCATTATACCATCAAAACGCTCCTCGAAAAACACCTTAGCGGAAGCGATGGCGACGAGAGAGAGGAGGATCAGAGAGAGTAAATTAGGGTTTCGAACCCTAAACGCCATGGCTTCAAGCTTCAAAGCTTCACTGAGAAAGAGAGAGGCAAAGAGAGAAATTGCAAAGTGGGGGAGCGAAATGAGGATCACTGGGACTATATAGGGGGCGTACGTCACAAATTCTCAGTCGATCCTGGAAATAAATTAAAACAGAAATATATTCTGACGTGGAAAAAGAGTATCCAATAGAGAGTTCCCAAATAGACTTTTCTGATACGTGGCGTCTTCTGATTGGTTGCTACACGACTTGTTCGGGTTTCTATTGGACGCCACACGTGTGTAGAGTTAAACTTGATTTCATTGGACTGAATCTATGACCTGGTAAATCAGTTACAAACTAGACACGTGGATGGCTTTTATTGGATGGGTGGAAGAAAACTGTGTATCGTCGTTGTAGCAGATTCCTTCTCGGGATTTTTCTCGTTTAAATTTTGTAATTTTTTTCCAATGGAATTATCCGGAGGACAAAAATATGCCGCTTAAATATATTATTTAATTTTGAGAAAGAGGTAAACGATGGATTCGGCTGAATGATAACAATTTTGTTATTTTATTTTCTATTTTTAAATATTATATTCATTTTTTAATTTTTCTAATTTATTTCTGAAAACGCTTTCGATGTCATAGTAGGATTCTGAAAATTAGAAAAATATTTATTTATTTTTGAAATTGGACAAGATTTTTAAAATTATATTGGAGAAATGAGAAATAAACAAATTGAATAGTAAAAAATAGACCATTTTCTTTATTTTTGTCTTTTATTTTTGAAATTTGATTAAATTTTAAAAAATATTAAATAAAATTGGTTTGATACGGTAGGTAGTTTTTCAAATTTCTAACTAATTTAAGAAATTTACTAAAACTTGAAATGTTTACAAAGATGGAGAAAATTTTCAAACTTAGAAATTATTGATAATTTGAGATTTGATATTTGAGATTTTTTATCAAATAGAAATGAAATCGAAGTAACCAACAGATACAGATATCAGATAGGCTTCCATATTAAGGGGGTGTTCGGTAATTATTTTATATATTTTTTATTTTTTGTTTCTGTTTTTTTAACAAATAAAAATATAATTACATTTTGTAATGGTTGATTGTTGATTGTTTTTATTTCTTAACTAAAAAAATAGAAAAATGTTTATAACCTTTTCTTCTTTTTCATTCTCAGTAAATTTGTTATGTGAAAATTAATTTTTTATATTAAATATTAAAACAAAATTTACCTTTTATTTATTTTTAATATTTATTATACATTTTATAAGTTTAAAATAATATTTTTATTTATATTTTGGGGAAGAAAAACTAGAAATGGGAAAATTTTGATTGGGTCTTTTCCAAAATTTCTACCCATTTTTCAAAGTTAGAAATAAGAAAGGGTTTATCTAGAATGTAATTTATTTGCCATTATTTCTAATTAACAAAATTAATAAATGGAATTTAAAAATATATAATCCATTTGGGGAAAGCCATTACATGCTTATTTGAAAATGGTTTAATAGTGAGATCATGAAGGGCACAAAGCACCATAGGATAAGATATGGCCAAGTGTTTGTTTAGAAAAATAATGTTCCAAGTAGGTTGGCACTCATTCATATCATTTGGATCTTTTGGATGCTTAAATTGGAAGTCAATCAAAGATCATCTCTCTCCATAATTATTTATTATTATTATTATTATTATTAAATATTTTTTACAATATTTTTAAGTCGAAATATTTGAAATTTAAAATAAACAAATTTTACTAGTATAAACTATCCTCGTTTTATAAATTTTGTAGTCAGAAATAGCTGTCTTAACAAATTGAGTAATGCGATTATATTTTTTTTAAAATTATTTCTTTTAACTTCAAAAAATATTGAGACATTGTTTATTATCAAGGTACTTGTTGAGGGTTTTCTTCTTTTCTTTTCTTTTTTCTTTTTACTGTTTCTTGGACAATGTACATGTCAAGTTTTATTATGCACTAAACTAAACATTAAAACTAAAATAAGTATTTATCGAACACTAAAAAACATGCAACATTATTAAATTGTGGGGGTAACATAAAGGTCGAATTTTTTTCTTTAAGTTATATGTGACAGTGAAGATTCGAATATCTAATCTTTTAATCGATGATATATGTCTTATAAGTTGGGCTATGTTTTAGTTGACATATGTTGTTGAATTACTGACACTCTTGTTCTCTCTCCCACCAGCTCAAAGGAGAAAAACGGTTAACATTATAAGACACTTAGATTTTTGAGCATCCACCCAAACAAAACCATCAAAATGGGCAAATGATGTGTAATCTACATTATTTAGTTTAGCTACCAAAGGAACAAGTTTGGTTATTGTTGTCATATATGCTTGAAGATGAGGCCACCATGAGCAGCAAAGAATGGGGCAAAAACCAAAGACTCAACAGCCATGAGCTTGATGAGGATATTGAGTGAAGGACCAGAAGTGTCTTTGAGAGGGTCCCCAACTGTGTCACCAATCACAGCTGCCTTGTGAGCCTCCGACCCTTTCGGACCGAGCGCTTTCGCATGTTCACTTGCTCCTGCCTGCATTTTCTCGATCGAAACCATTATTGTCGTATTAGATTAATCAAAATGACTTGATCCACCCAATCATAGTTCTTACAAAACAATAATATATCACTATGTTGAAGTACTGTCAGTATTTTAGAAGTTTTAAAAAGCGTTTTTCTCATACATAGTCCAAGAGCTACGAAAGATTTAAAAAGCGAGTCAAAAGCACTACGAGATATTGAAAAAACACTCCCGAACACATTCGAACTGAGAAAAAGAATGCTAAAAAGAGTGTGGAGGAGATGTTACCTCTATGTACTTTTTGGCATTATCCCAAGCCCCACCTGTGTTTGAAGCAGAGATAGCAACCTAAGAAGTTTGAAGAGAGACAACTTAGAGCCATTTATTTGAAGAAGTAAAGTTATGGTAAAGAAAGCTCATCATCATTGCCACTTACAATGGTTGTGTTTCAAGCAAGGTTAAAGCATGACAAAAGCAATGAAGAAGAAGAAAAGCTGGCAAAGAAACCGGGAGGAGAGAGAAAATAACAATACTTAAGTACTTACCTATTAGCACCCACATATTTTACCGACCACCGTTAAGTTTTTAATAAGTAGAAGAAAGAAATGTAGAAAAAGAGATATTTTTTTTCTATTTTTCGGAGCCATCAAATTTTGATTGGTGGGTGCTGATCAATAAGCATCTAAGTATTGTTCATGGGAAAATATTACTACCACTTTCTATGCATCAATTCCACGTGTATCAATCTTGTTAAAAGTTAAGGATCGGGAAAAAGAGCAAGAAGTCAACGATAAATATGTCCTTGTCGAAAAAAGAGGAGTCCATACCCTTGTAGTAGTAAAAGGAAAGAAAGAAGTGGAGGGGACCTATGAGAAATGAGGATAGAAAAACTAAAGGCCAACTTTTTTTCATTTTTCTTTTTCATTTCTTGTTTATTTTTTATTGTTTTTTTCATTAATGTTTTCCTATCTTGTTTTTTAAGATTAAAACCACTACTTCTACCTCTGTATTTATTTGTTTTGTTATCTAAGCGAAAAATTGAAAAAAAAAACTGATTTATGTTCTTAAAAATTGTCAATTCAAACATGTAAAAGGAAAAAAAATGTGAAAAAACGATGGTGTCGGAAGCCAACACAAATTTTAAAAACAGAAAACTGAAAAGAATATCGATATCGTCATGAAACAAGCCTAAAGTAATATGAAATTCTCCGGAGTTTTGTAACAGAATAATTTGTTTAAAATGTGGGGAGACAGTTAGATTGACATACCTGCACACCAGAAACAAGGGAACCAGCCAGCAGCCCAGCAAGAGTTTCAACTCCAAAGAATGTTCCAGCAATAAGTGGTGTTACCAAAACCAGAGCTCCAGGTGGGATCATCTCTCTAAGTGAAGCATCCGTCGATATCTTCACACAATTCGCGTAGTCCGGCTTTGTCCTGCCTTCCATCAGCCCCGGGATCGAGTTGAATTGTCGTCGAACTTCCTCGACCATCTTCAGCGCTGCACTGCCAACACTCTTCATTGTCATTGCTGAGAACCAATATGGAAGCATGGCACCTACTATCAGTCCAATGAAAACTTTCGGGTCCATGACGTCGACTGTTTCGATGCCTGCTCGGCTCACAAAGGCACCGAACAAGGCGAGGGAAACAAGAGCAGCAGATCCAATGGCAAAGCCCTGCACAATATAAGAACAGCAAGTTGCGAGCAACATGATGCAGCTAGCTCTCAGAATGTTTAGAACAGAAACATGATTGTTGAAGAAGTGGCACCTTGCCTATGGCAGCAGTTGTATTTCCTGCAGCGTCTAAAGCGTCGGTTCTCTCGCGTACCTCGTGGCTCATTCCAGCCATTTCGGCTATTCCACCTGCATTGTCACTAATGGGTCCATATGCATCAATGGCTAGACCAGTGGCAATGGTGCTAAGCATTCCTAAAGCAGCCATCGCAATTCCATACATGGCTGCCAAGCGGAAGCTCACGTAAATGGATAAGGCGATCGAAAATATGGGAATTATGACGGATTTGTAACCAAGAGCTAATCCAAATATCACATTTGTTGCGGCACCGGTTCTACAGGAATCAGCCACATCCTGCACCGGACTGCACAAATGATCTCATCACAATTCATGTTTCAGCCAAATGAGACATGCCATATATCAGATTTTATACGAATGCCTTTTTCAATTTCAAGAAAGATATTGTTAAACCACTAAACCCAAATGCCAAATGTTTAAATTAGATTAGGATAAAGTTATTCTTTTATATGTATTCTTAACATTTACACTCCCATAACGTTATACGAGTTCAACTCAAAGCCTCCTGCTTCGATATCATATTAAAACTACTAGAAAACTCAAAAGCTTCCGCCGATAGGTTAGAATATATTTATTCCAAGAGATATTTTACCTATAAGCATTACTAGTGTAGTATTCAGTTGTATATCCAATCACAAGTCCTGCCCATAATCCTGTCACAACACAGAAGAAAAGGTGCCTGCATTTGGATATAATTTTAGTCAGCATAAAGACTAATGTTTACGGGGGAAAAGAGATTCTTGTAATCAGCAAAGTCGTACCAGTTCTTTACGACCTTGTCGTTGCCGAAATCGTAGAGAGTGAATTTCGAAGGTAAAGCAACCAAGCTGACCAAAGCTACCCCTGCTGTCATCAGGACAGTGGAGAAAAGAAGCTGTCGCTTTAATGATGGTTCAACTCCACTCACTTTCTTAATCTCAATGAGATCGGTTGCGAAAAGTGTAGTTATTAAGCAAATCACAATGCCCATTGAGCTTATAAGTAGAGGGTACAACATGGCTGCATAGTTATGTGTGAAGCCGAAGGATGATATTGATGCTACAAAAAGTGCTGCACAGGTTGATTCAGCATAAGATCCAAATAAGTCAGAGCCCATTCCTGCTATGTCTCCTACATTGTCACCCACATTGTCAGCTATAACCTGGAAAACAAATTATATATCATCAGACTGAACGCCTCGATAATCTCATAGAGTCGAATACGAGTGAATAATCTCTCTTTAATTCCTCAAGTATTGAAAAGTACCATAGAAATTAGAGTGACAAAAGAAATGTATAGAAAATTACAGCAGGGTTTCGTGGATCGTCTTCAGGGATATTCTTTTCAATTTTCCCTACAAGATCAGCTCCAACATCAGCTGCTTTTGTGTATATGCCTCCCCCCACTCTTCCAAATAGAGCCATAGAAGAACCTCCAAGACCATAACCCGTGATAGATTCATACAGTCCTTCCCAGTCGTCACCGTAATACAGCTTAAACAAATTGATGGAGACATATAATACAAGGAGGCCATTGGCAGCTAGAAGGAATCCCATCACAGCACCCGAGCGAAAAGCGATAACAAATGCTTTTCCAATGCCTTTTCGTGCTTCTAGACTCGTTCGGGCATTTGCATAAGTTGCAATCTTCATTCCAAGGAAACCAGAAAGAACCGAGGTAAGACCACCTAGCAAAAAGGCAATAGTGCTAAAGAATGCATTGGCTAGAGCTGGTTTACACATATTTCCCTTCTTGTATGTGCAAGGTTCACTTTTGGTGCTGAAGCTCTTAACTGAGCCAAGGAACAGGAAAATGATGGCTCCAAATGCTACCATGAAGACAACTAGGTACTTATACTGGGTGAATAAAAATGATGTTGCCCCTGAAAGCAAAAAAACAAATAATTCAGATCAATATACTACTATACTTTTTATAATGCTTCGCAAGGATGAAATTTTTAGTTCATCTTATACACTGCAACAATCTTCTATCCAATCTTTCTGCAGCATATTGTGCATTGCACCAAATCGAAGATATTTTCGGATATAAACTCAAGGACATATTATGACATAGGGGATTCAACTCTACAATGTCATAGGAGCAAAAATTATGTCATTTCTACCTTGATTATCACTTGATAATGCTATATTTTTTCCGTGGGGTAAGGGAGAGAGTACTTTTGCATCCTTTCAAATTCACCTTTTTGTGTTTTTTCATCTTTAAAAATGGCAATGAAAGAGATTATTCTTCAATGTTTGTTTGGAAGACAAGGATGTCCTGTCCTAGAACAAATTTATCATTTCTTGAGAGTTGATATCCAAACAAAAAATGAATTTCTCCAAATGAGATGCATAAAGCTTTTAAAAGTTGAGAGCAGAGATCCTAATCAAGTAATTGTCAAAAATGTATTTTAGAAGAAAAGAAAAGGAAAAGCAATAAATTTTCAACAGAAGAAAAAAAAAGCTCACCAACAGAAATGGCCTTCTGAATTTCAGCACACTTTAGGACTACCTCAAAATCGTCAATACCTTCCTCTCCTCCTCCTTCAATCAAGTTATTTTCTTGGCTTTCATCCATATCAGAGTAGTCAGAAATCTTAACTCTTGAGACCAAAAGCCATTGAAGAAGGGCAAACCCAATACCAAGCAAGGCAGCTGCAGGTATCAGCAACTGTGTCAGACCCTCACTCAAACCACCCATTTTCAAAGATCACAATGTTCCCTGAGGTTTCCTGGCATATATAACAACAGCAAATTCGGGTTTTGATGTGCAGCAGTCTGAAGCGACTCTGGAAAAAGTATAATTTCCAAACTAGAAAAACCAAAGGATCTGTTTAAATTACCTGCAAAGCCATCAGAAGTCTATAATAAGTTAAAACTGGCTGGTTTGACCAGAAAACTGTGGTTGGCCTTTTGGCATTCATCAGAGGCTTTGTCTAAATATACTAGATAATGATGTGGAAACTTCTGGTTGAACCTATCTCAATGAAACAGTAAAAGTACAGAAAGTCTCTCTGGTTATTGAAAGTGACAATTAGTTATCTTTTTACTATTGATTAAAAAGTGGACGAGAATTTGTTATTGCCTTGTGTGGGAAAGCCTCCATCATCTAATTCTAAGTAACATTAGATAAAAGTCCTATTTTCCCTAGAAAAGTATATGACTTGACCAAATTTATATTTATGGAAAAAGCAATTTGCCTTGGTTACTTGTTACACTAACCTTAATTTATTTATTCAGAACACAAAGTTGGAAAATTTCAAGTTCAACGAGGAATCCAAACTGAGGTAACTTAGTTCCTTCATTGCTAAGTTTTCTCTTCAATGGGTTCCCTAGATTTGGATCTAAATCTTTGAAAATATGAAGTTAAAGATAGCTCGAAATTGGTTGAATTTTGATGACAAGAAAGAAGCATGGTTTCAGAAGCATCTGTTTCGCCCAATTCAGACAACAAAACAATGACAAAATATCAGAATGCAGAGGAAGGAAAAAAGTCAAACTTTTGTAACTTTCAAAACCAAATCATGTTGAATTTAAGAAAGATTATTTAAGGAACCAAAAAATGAAAAAAGCTAAAGGGTCGATGACTTTCTTCATCAACTTCCTTTCCTTAGCATTGAAGGTTCATTTATCTCAAGTTTATAGTCAACTTGTACGAAGTCAGTCAAATTTATTGCTACTATTTTCTTCCTACATTTCTGGTTGTGATTCAAGGGGGTAAAAAGATATTAAAAAAAAAAAAAATCTCTTCCCCTAATTAAATTCAATATTGTGGTATAAAATATTCCATGAGATGTGCAGAGCAATAGCTGTCTTTCCATTCTAAAAGGCATCGTCTACTTTTACAAGCCTATCATTCTTCATCACATTGCCATTGATTTAGAGAAATCACTAAAAGATGGGGCAGACCTTTATTTTTGTTTCCCTTTCTGTTTTTTCAGCCTTTATCTCATGTAAAAAAATAACTGCATCTATCGATAAAAGATAAATATCGACAAAGATCGTACTCGACATGCTTACTTATTCTTCTATTTATTATTATTATTATTATTATTTTATAAGAAACATTTTATAGACAAAAGCATAGAACAAAACGGTGAGCCCCCCACCGAAGAATAGCTCTCCAATCTTGCATAATCATTTAGAGGCTATAATTACAAAAGGATTTTCTATGCCTATAACACCACCAAGAAGAGTGTAATTGAAGAAGAGTGTAATTGAAGAGTATTACAAAAAATGTCAAAAGAGGAAGATTTATCTTAAAAAATTCTATAAAAATTCTATAGTTACTTATTCTTCTATTCATAATTTATTGCTGCATGAACAGCTTTATTATTCCTTCATATTTTGATCAGTAAGTTGCTCAACTGAACGGAGAGGGAGAGAAATAACAATGAGTCTCAATATAAAACAACAACATCCCAACCATAGAATTTTCTGCTTCAACACAAATTTAATCAATAAAATGCCTGCAGAAGATGCATTCCCGAAGGGCTTTGCACAACTTTATGAGCCTTATACATGCATACTTCATCTTTCCCTTCTAGAACCTGTTGTGAGCATCCATCCTCTCAAATATTCAGGATTAATTCTGCAAGTTGGTTGGTTTACGACTCTACTGATATTTTCGTAGAAACTTCTGTGCGCACAAAAGCTCGTTCAAATCTCTGCTTCAATAAGGAGCAGAAATATCAAGTGTAGATGAGAAACTGCAGACAAGGAGCCAACGGTGAGAACACCGTTCATAGTGGCACTTGCTGGAAGTTGATTGAACATTGCCCATTTTGCTATAGCGGCATTCGCTGGCTCTTCATTTAATAAGAAAATTCTTTGGTTCTCATTTAGCTGTGCCAATGATCTTGTTAAGACACATGCTTCAAGGTTGATGGAGAGCTCACTTCTTGTTGTTGGGACAGCAATGCTTGACTTGCCCATGATGGTAGAGGAGCCTGCAGTTTGAGAGGAATACCAGTAACAGGGTGCACAAAGAACAAGCTCTCAGCATGAAGCTCATGGCTGTCATAAATATTTCCATTCCACTCAATGACACCCTCGTATTTAACATCTCCTCTAATAGGAATTCCAAGATATTGGCAGTGCAGGCGGATTTGATGGGTTCTTCCACTGCGAGGTCGTGCTCTAATCAAGATCTCGTCCTTATGGGCATCAATATCTATCAAAGATTTCGATTGGACTACAATAGTTTCTTCTTCATCTTTCCTTACTTCTGGAAGTTCGTCCATGGTGCTTTGTCCATTTACAGACAGTACTTCAAAATAGGTTTCCATGTCTCTGACCACCGAACCGCCAGGTAAGGAGCGACCCACATCTGCTGCAGCATAGACACGCCAGACCCCAAACTTTGACCTTCCATGACCAGATTTGACATTGATTTTTTTCCATTTCGGAGCAGAGCCAACACAGAAGGCAATATATGATTTTGAAACATTGTGGTCAGTAAATGCCTTCACCAATTTAGAAGCAACTTTATGCGACTTAGTTATAACCATCACCCCACTTGTGTCACGATCAAGGCGGTTAGCAAGATGAAGCTCGGGCAAGCTGATTTGGATCCCTGCATTTGGAGAATCTGAGGTAAGAATAATCTGAGAAATTGGTAATGATAGAACAATCAAAAGATGTAAATACATGACATCATTTTAGACAAATTTTTTAAACTTCAGACACACTCAAGCACCTCTCTGTTCAACAACCAGAATACAGCTAAACCCTTTACATCAACTGGCTTATGAAAAAAAAAACATTCAAAATGTTTCCACAATATAGGGAAAGCAGTAGAAACCACTTAAGTAAATGTATTCATGTCAAATTCCCAAGGCATCCCCACCTATCATGCTATCTATACTATACCACTAAGCACCCCTAAAAACATCAGTACCATTAATTTTATGAGATTACCTAAATACTTCTTTGAAAGTTGAGTAGAAAATATTGTTCGTTTTAAAAAACACTAAAGATGGATTCTTGTTGACAAAACCATTGGGCAAGGTGTTTCGTGAAAAAACAAAAAGGGGATGAGAACATATGAGATTTCATTTTTAAATAGATTCAAAAAATGAAAACAGATTCCATAAAGCATTCCTTTTCTATGGTTAAAAAAGTTTGGAAAAATTCAAATTTTTACCCTTTAAATTGGCAGAGCGAGTAATTATTCATTTCAAACTTTCAATTTCGTCAAATTGAACCCTAAACTTAAATGACTGTTATAACTTCCATTTTTTTTTAATAAGAAACTGAGACATATTATAAACAGAAGAACCAAAGAACAGCCTAAGGACAAGGGACAAGAAGTCCCTCTCCAAAAAAGGAAAAGCTAAGAGAGAATGACTCTCCAATCCTGTAAAATCATAGAAAGGTTGTAATTGCAAAAGAGCTTCCTATTTGTATGACACCACTATGAGGCGTGCGTTAATATGGACACTATCACAAAATGACTCAAAGGACTTAGCCTTATCCTCAAAAGAGCGAAGATTCCTTTCCAACCATAAGTTCGACTTCCATTATATTTCCATTACATTCACCCACTAACTTCAATGAAAATCAAGCTATAACATTTCAATGCACTAAAGTTATGCCTTAGCAAATCAATGCACAGGATCTACGGTCGAACAAAGCTCCTAAATCTCAACAGGTTGAACAAAAATTCAGCCCTGATTGAAGCTTCAAAGATTTGGTATCACGTCTCAATTTTCATATCATGATACCTATTTTGTAATTCATGAAAAGAGCGTAATAATGTTTTTTAACTATTCAAAATGAGAGCAAGTTGCAGATTGCAATGCAGCAATCCAATTCGATGAAGTTGAAAGTTTAGAGTAAAAATGAATTCAGCTTGCCGAGCTCAGTCCAAATTTTGAATACTTCTCAAAAAAAGAAAAAAAAGTTCCAAAATAACACCCAAACACAATTCAATTGACTCTTAATGGCAAACTCACGAGCTAAGCAAAGGCAGAGAGTTGTAGTACCTCCACTCTGCTCACCAGCCATGGCCGAATCACCGAGAAGACGAGGAACAGAGGCCAAAACGCTTTCACAGTAAACCCCTTGGGGCTTATTTACAGCAATGAGCCACTCGTCCTCGAATATAACATCGGTTGCTGATAAAGCAAAGAGGCTGGATTTAGAGGAGGCCGCCATGGCCCTAGCGAGCTCCAAGTTCTTGGATATGGCCGGTAGTGGAGGCGAGAGCGGTATTGGATAATTCTGTCCTGTTGCTGGGCTGTTTCCGGTCACCGGAATTGATGGGTCCGCCATACTGGCTGATCGGAATCTGTGGAAGCAGAAGGGTTTCGAGAATTTGGCGAAGGTTTTGTGGGAAATTAAGAAGGTGGGCTGAAGTGCTAAGAAGAGGGCCATTTGTGTCATTAAAGCTTGTTTTTGTCTCAAAACTTAAAATCTTTTTTTTTTATAACATCAACTTTTAAATTTAACCCAATTTCATCTCCAACTTAGATAAATGCGGTAATTTTCATTTTTAACTTAAAGAAAAGTATCGTGTATAAAATAATTATTTAAATAAATGTTACAATATCATCTTAAACTTTAAACTTTAAAGAGTACTTTCATAAAAGAAATTTTATTTTAAGAAGAGTTGCGATCTTTATCCTTGATTTTTCATTTTAAAATTCAAATATTTGTCAGATAAATTATAGAATATGTATTTAGTATGAAACTGATCCTATTAAAAAAAACGATACTATAATTGTTTTTTATTTAATTTGTAAGTTCGGGTGACGAACTTGTGCATTAATCAAATTTAATGTTTTCATTCAACTAGTAAATTTTTAGAGCTTTTTATTTCTATTTTTATTAAACTTGACCTATGAATTAGTAAATAGAAGGTAAAAATCGATGCTTATTTAAGTTCAGTTCAATGAAATTGAAAGCTAGTGATGAAAATTGATACAACCTTGGAGGGTCAAAAATAATTTTATTTTCCTATTTGTCTTTAATGTAGAGTTAAGGACTCAACTTTCGACCTCGTTAAAAATGATAAGTACTTTTATCTATTAACCTATATTTTGATCAACAAATTTCACATTTTTTTTACAATTATAATATTCTTTAAATTTAAATTGTTGACTGTCAAACGAGCATAGTTTAGTATAATTGACATATATCTACAATTAAGAAAGTGTGAGTTCAATTCTCATCTCACACATTTAAAATTGCTGATTTCATCGAGTTTAGTTTTAATTTGATACATGTGTTTTTAAAAGTCTCAATTTTAGTTGTCAAACTCGCAAAATGAACGTGTTACCCAGGCTCATCTAAAAAGGTATTGTCAACTTTTCATATTGAATATGGAGGAAAATATTGAAAAAATATTCCTATTTACATGACAATAAAAGGGTATTTTTTTAATAAGTTCAGAGTTGGGTAAATATATAAAAAAAAAAAAGTTAGCGGATTTTTTTATAAATAAAAGATAAATTAGCGATGACTTATTAGATTTAGGAAAACTACTAGGATCAAGATCTAATTTAAACTTTGACTAAAATATTTTAAATATTTTCAAAAGAAAAATAAAATTAGACCAAATAGATGGAATTTTAAAAGGCTTGGGTTAAAATTGTAATTAGAGAAAAAAAGAAAAAAAAAACTATATTTAGTTCCTTCCCACCCCACGAACTCTCATCGAAATTATTCTGGCGGTAGCCCTCAGGATAAACCAACGACAAGGTGCGAAAGATCTGTTCAAATTCGGAATCACATTGAAAAAATCCATATGCTTCAATCATTCAGAATATTTCTGTTAGATTTCATCTCATCGCGTTATATTCCCTGTTTGTTTCGCTTGAAAATTTTGTTTACGCGACCGAAATTTTGCTTCCTCGTGGGGTTTCATGATCATTAATTATGTCTCTTCTTATTCTTTCGGGTACAAATCACTTTGATGTAATTTTGGGCAGTCTTGCGGAATTCGGTCTGTTATTTTAACATTCCGTTCGCAGGTTTGAGATTGAAAGCATCTTTGTCGCGATTTGAAGCGAGAAGAAAACTGGAATTGAAGAGAAAACGGAGACAGCGGAATCGAGAACGGGATTCATGAGTTCCTCATCAATAATAACTCCAGAAGACGTGCTGCAGTCGCTGATGAATGATGGTACTATCGATTCTCTCAGGTTGAAGATCATTAACCAGCTCAAAGCCAATGTCAGTTTCCCTCTCTCTCCACAAACCTGTCTTATTTTATTTGGGTTTCAAATTGGCACCACTGATTCAACTATGCAGTAATCTCTAGCTCAGAATAAGACGCATAAGCGTGAGATTGCAAAGTTTGGGTGAAATAAGTTGTAGAAAACAAGTTGGTTTTTGGTATAGAAGGTGGATTTCATAAGCCTGAGTTTAAGCAGTTCGTGGGATTAACAAACTAAGCAATTTAACCTACCAAACTTAGATTTCATCTTTTAACCATACGTTACACAAGTCTAATCCGTGAACCATGTCTGACTGAATCGTTCTCTTTAGTGTTCTTAGCGAGTAAAGTAATACATTCTCTCATTTTATCCAATATGGATGGGGGTGTATCGAGTTGCTGATAGTAACTGCTGGGGCTCCTAAGTAATGGCCAAGTAGTGGGATTATAATCTATGCTTTTCTGTCGGGACAATAGTTTGTAAGAGAAATTTACTGTTTTTTTTCAGCTCTACATTGTTTACTTGGCTTATCTGGTAACTGTTTGAATTTAGATATGATAAGGTGATACTGTGATGGAATGGTTTTTGAGTTTGGATTGGCATTTGAAGATTCGTGTATCTTCCTTGTTACAGGAAGAGCTTAAGAATACCACCATTAAAATGGTAGAACAGAGCAAAGTCCTTAATACCCCTGGGGCAGAAAAGCAGACCAAAAGAGAGTTGTTTGATTCTCTTCGACAGGAACTTGAGTCAGTATTATTTCTACTATTATTTCTACTTTAATGTTTAAACGTCTATTACTTCCCCACTCTTCCTCTTCTCTTTTCACTTTTCTTGTTAACTGAACTGAACACGAGGAAGTACTTAAAGTTCATCACACTGTGTCTTTTCAATTTGTTGAAAGGATTGCACACTGAGTTTTTTGTTTTTCCATCTTGTGAGGTCTGTGGTTGAAGCATGCTTAAGTTTCTATGAGTATATATTTGAATGAGCATGATTTAGGAAGAGAGTTTGTTTCCGTCATGAAAAAAGAGAGAACTTTATTAACAATAAATTCTTTAGAAAAGAATAGAAGAGAATATAGTATCCTAAAGCTTAAACAAAAGCAGATTGTGTATCCTCTATGTATTAATAGTTTTTGAATCTCGTACCACGTCTAGAATGTTCATGATTATTTCTCTATTTAAGAGGTTACAAAGATGTAAATGAACTAACATGTTTTGTTTTCTTACAATTTAAATAATTTTGGATGTTATGCAGAGCACCAGTGCTTGAGAAAGCCTCCAAATCTGTTTGGGAATTGATTTTGGACAACAATGGGTTGGGCAAAGAAATAAACGACACAGTCGAAAAAGTATTTTGTCGATTGAGTGGCAGGGAACCTCCATTGTTTCCTCCTCAAAATGGGGATATGGCATCAGTCAAAGAACCTGAGAATGAGAAAGGCAAGGGAAAAGAGCCTGAAGATGATTACCTCAAGGAGAAATCACACTCTGTCAGGAAAAGGAGTTTCAATGATATGAATGGCAGAGAGGAAAACAATGTTGCAAATGGAGCTGGTGAAAATCTAGCTCTACCTGAAGAACTCAGTAGATCACCTTAGTTGAGTTTGAAGACGTATACCACATCAGGAACCACCATGCCATGACGACGGGATCTGACAGGTGTGGTTCAAGCTTTTCCCTCTTAATCTGATGAGCATGGCCCGTGTGGCCATGTCAAACACAAATAGGAACAAAATTTATCACATGCATGCTGCACACGCAACCCATGGGAGTCTGAAAATTTGTTTGTGTTGACACATATGACCACTTCTATGATCTTTAATGTTTCCCGTTAGTTTATGGTTAGAAATTAGGATGCTTAGTCCTGAAAAACTAGTTCTTGTAATCTAATCTACCAATGTCATTACTGCGAAAAACAATATTAATATGTATTGACGTTGTTCAGTAGATTATATCTCTGGTTCAGTTTTCATGAATGGTTTCCTTTTTCTGTTTTTTTTTTTACCTAGTGTTGGAGTTATTATGATTTATGTTGAATTACATTTGAATTCTAACTTCAGTCTTTCACAAAGTGGGCTAGACCGCACTGGTCAAGAGGCAGGTTTTATTTGGCGAGTCAGGGCCTTAGGAGAGCTCTAGACCTAATGCCAGAATAAACAGATCTTTTAGACTTTTTGTTATGTTTCTAAATCATGAATTATTTCACTTCATTAATAAGATTCTGGTGTAGCAAGTCTAATTTTGATTGAATTGATACATTGTAGGAAACAATTGAGACTAATAAATATGTTACTTTTCATATGAGATTTTTTGTAGAAGCATAATCCAAAATTAAGTATAATTGAAACAGTATATAGATTAATACATCAACTTTAAGTTCATTGGGAAATATATTTTCCTCCCCTAAAGACCTACAATTATTGAGGTTTGAGAAAAGAGTTTAAATTGAAGTCTTCAAACAAGGCAGCACCTAAGTAAGAGCACGACTACAAATTGAAGACACTGAGATTCAATATTTCTTTTGATTTAGAAAAACATAACCTCAATAAAGAAAAGATTGATCTCCACTTATCTTAATAATTAATGTTCATAAATATTACACTGAGAATAGAGAAGCCGGTGAAAGAATGGGTGAGGTTATTAATCAAAGCCTCTCCCTTCATCAATTGAAGACATATAAATAATACAAAACTGGGTAGTTCTGTGTGTCATAAATCATTAATTAGTCATGAAGAAACCCAGATGAGTGTTAAATGTAAAGTAGTGTATGATCAAATTTCATTTTGGTTCATTATGGTTTGTCCTCAAATGCCAGGTTGAATATCTGGCTGTACTCATCCACAAAATGAACATCAAGACCTTCTTTGACATTGGAAGCAAGCTCATCAAAGTCCCTCCTGTTTGCAGAAGGAAATATTATTGTCTTCACTTCACTTCTTCTTGCAGCTATGGATTTCTCCTTCACCTGTAAAAGCAAGTACAGGAAGAGATGGAATTTGAGTGTGATTGAGAACAATGTTTTGAATGTGGGAAGAACTTCTTAAACCTCTTGAAAACACTTGACTCCTCAAGGGTAAGGAGGAATCTTGTCCTTACCCCTATTAAATGTTTATTAAATGTTTGATAACTAAGACAGGGTAATGCAAAAACGAACATTATTTTTAAATATAAGTTGTCAATTTTTTAATGGTGGTGAGGACAAGATTTGATCATCACTGTTAAGGAGCCAAGTATTATCCTAAAAGTAAAGGACATGAAAAGAACACAAAAGATTAAAATACATGAGTAAGATTAATTTGTCACTCGTAAATTGCAAAACACATCATCTTTTCATTTTATCCTACTGTCTGTAAGTCTTACTAATCGAACCGTGGAAAAAACTGACTAAGCCAAATTAAAATCGATTTTTTACCCAAAATATTCGTGAGTGTTCAAGTAAAGCTTCGGACGTTACAACTAGTTTCACAAAGTGACTGCCTAATACCACTCCATGTGGTTGTCTAAGGGCAGTAGTAATAGTAAATCTCAAGTAGGTGACCACTTACTATCTATTCAAACCATACCAACTTACTATCTTTCGATTTCATACGGAAAAAACCAAACCAGCCAACAAATATACTTCAAACTGACCAGGCCATCAGTTCGGTTGGTTTCGTCTGTTCTTTTAGTTTGATCGTTCAGTTGGTTTCACTGGTTCTTTCAGTTTTACTCGATTTCAGCTTCCACCACTAATGTAGGTTGTATTCTCAAGTCTAGGATAATAGCATGAAAAAGATAAATTATAGCAAGTGCTAGAATTCTTCAACTTACCCCACCAATCGGAAGAATTTTTCCGGTCAAAGTTACTTCTCCAGTCATGGCTAGATCCTTTCTGACAGGCTTCTTCATGGCAAGTGACAATAGAGATGTTATCATGGTGCAACCAGCACTCGGTCCATCCTTGGGCGTTGCTCCGGCAGGAACGTGAAGATGAAGCTTGGTGTTTGCAAAGAAGGGATTATCTGGTTCTTTTTCGAGCAATATCCTCCGGGCAAGTGTGTGAGCGATTTGAGCACTTTCTTTCATGACATCTCCAAGCTGACCAGTCAGATGAAGCGCCCCTTTCCCCTCTCCTTGCTCAACTTGAGTGGTTTCTATGTAGAGAGTGGAACCTCCCATGGCAGTCCAAGCAAGCCCCATCACAACCCCGACTGGTGTATGGTCATAAATACGCTCGGCATGGAAAACTGGTTTCCCCACGTAATCAGCTAGATTTGGTGAGTCCACGATCACTTTCTCGATTTCGCTGGTGACTTCACTTTCAGTGATTTGCCTTGTTTCTGATTCATCCTGCCAAAGCCACGAAAATTTCAGGACATGAAATCTGATTTAGCTCAAGGATATGACTTTGGTAGTGGTACTGCATAAGTTACTCCAGTTTTGCTTAGATTTGAGAGTCAAGCTAGATTTCATTTTCCCATGTTAGAAACGGGGAGGAATTCAGCTAAATTACATGGATAATGCACTTATATTTCTTAGATACCTTGGAAACCACAGGTTGATTGGGATGAGAATCATCAGCTAGAAGATCACCCGATATCTTCTCGGCCTCGGAAAAGGATTCAGCTTTTTTATCTTGGCTACTTTCATTGATCAATTCACTTTCACTTTGACTCTCGCTTTCACTATTGTTTTGACTTGATTCGTCTATTAGCTCTAGCTTCTCTTCATTAGATTCGACAACCTCTACCGGTGCAGGTTCATTTGATGCTCCTTGTCTTACAAGCTGAAGAGCAATCTGCCACATTACAAATAAAATTACATGGTAAGGTTATTTATCCTGTGATCCATGCAACAGGTCCAAGATATATCTTATGGCTTGTGAAAACTAGTTTCCATTATCAAATAAATCTCAAGATTAATCCAAAGGTCAAGTACTTTCATGAACCTTGCGATAGATCTTCTCAATGTGCTTCTGTAGATTTCTAACCCCTGCCTCTCGGCAATAGTTTTCTATGAGACCAAGAAGGGCAGCATCAGTCACTTCAACCTGAAATTAATCGAATTATACATATTTCATGGTATCCTATAGTTACATACAGGCGCCTCAGCGAAAGAGAGAAACCTGTTCAGGTTTAATCCCACATGCTTCGCGTGTAGCTTTCTCCAAGTAGTCCCTCGCTATGTGCATCTTCTCGTCGGTAATATATCCAGCAATGGCAATGACCTCCATTCTGTCAAGAAGAGGATTGGGTATCATTTCAACAACATTTGCCGTGCAGACAAAAAGAACCTGCAATAGACATTTCCGAACGGTGAACCACTTTTGGTAAAACTAGTGCTCCAACTTCATATGCTAAGTTCAATTTCTTTACAGAATGATCAAACCTTATGACCAACAAAGAATTTATCACCTTAACCCACCTTTGAAAGGTCAATTGGGACATCAAGATAATGGTCCAAAAAGTTAGCATTCTGCTCCGGATCAAGAAGCTCCAGCAAAGCACTAGCAGGATCTCCAGCATGACCTCTTCCAAGCTGCAAGAAGCAAGATAAATGATTAAAGCTAAACTTGTAGTGAATGAACACTTCTAAGAAGAAGGCCAAATTTCTCAAGTCTTTCCTGCAATCATATACCTTGTCTATCTCATCAATAAGGACTAGAGGATTAGCAGTTCCAACATTTTTGAGACACTGCACCATCTTTCCTGGCATTGCACCAATATAGGTTCGCCGATGACCCTGGATACAGTTTTGGAGTAAGTGTACATGAAATAATTTTTCAAAGGTACAAGGATTCAGCCCGAGAATAACCTTAATTTCAGCAACATCGGCTAATCCTCCAACAGAAAATCGGTAGAACTTACGATCCAAGGCACGGGCAATTGAACGACCAATACTGGTTTTTCCCACTCCAGGTGGACCAGAGAGACATATGATTTTTCCTGTCATGAAGTGAAGTAACTCACTTGTTCACGAATTAACAAATTAAGAATATAATTACTTGTTTTTTAATATAAAATAATAGTAAGTTGCCATATTAAGCATATTATGATGTACATTACGAACAATTAACCAGCTCTTTTGCTTCTGCATCATCCAGAAACAAAAGTATTATACTCGAGCATGACTCAGTGATATTGTTTGTCAGAAAATCACCAAGCATATCAAAGAAACAAGGATGGTATCATTGGACATCTAACTATACAGCGATAAGGTTATAAAGAATAAGAACAAGGTACAGAAAAACATCCATCAAAATATTATTGTCAGGAAAGACGTCAGCAAGCCAGCAAAATGTAAGAAAGAAGAGAGTCAAACAAGCATGAAATGACAATTCTTTTTTTTTTTTTGGTAAGAAACAAATATTTCATTTATGATATGAAACATACAAAATGGGGAGAATTGAGAAATGAGAAAATTTTATTATCATAGCATGTACTTTAACCCACAATCAGAAAGAAGAGAGCATCAAAAACCTTGTGAACTTCCTCTGAGCTTTCCAACAGCAATAAATTCGAGGATTCTTTCTTTCACATCAGTTAATCCATAATGATCTTCATCTAGAATCTTTTGTGCGCGAAGAACATCAAAATTCTCATCACTGCAGTTGTAATATTAAAAAAAAGAGAGACAAACGTCACATTCCCCATCATTGCATCAGCAAGTCATAAATGAAAACTGCAGCGGTTGAAGTCCACAAACCTGTAAACTCCCCAAGGAAGTGCAGTCAACCAATCCAGATAGTTTCTTGTAACATTAAACTCACTCGAACTGGCCTCCAAAAGCTGCAGCTTCGTAAGCTCTTCTTCGATAACTTGTGCCACATGTGGAGGACATTTGTCTTTGTTTGGTTCAAGTCTTTCTCTAAACTTTGCTGCAGCAGAAGTAAAATATTAGTGTAACCATAATAGATGGGGGAAAAAATGAAAAGCAAAACCTAACTTTGTCCCTCCAGTCTGCATTATCCTATTGGGGCTACCAACAATCACCACCATAACATTTTCAAGGATATAAAATACATCTGAAATCATTATTAACATGTTCCCAAAAATTCAGTAGAACTTTCCTATGGTGATAGATGAAGGTTTCAACATAAGTCATTTTCAATTTTTCAATCTTCCTCATACAAGCTCATTTGAGAAACTGCATAATCCACTCACGTCTAGGTCATCAAATTCTCTTGCGAACATTTTCTTAGTAATTTATTCATTAGAAATCTAGTAGTTTTCTAGAACTCCCTGTGCAATTTATATCGAGTATATACACAGACCAAAATAAAATCCATCACTGGCTCACCTGAAAGAGCTGTTTTGTCATCTGTTTCAAGTCCTAGCTCCTGAACATAGAAATTCCAATAAACTGTGTCAAAAGTTTGAGATAAGAGGAAAGCCTCGCTAGTAAGTAGTAACTATTGGGAGAACTATATTTGCAGATGCGGATCAATAACAATGTGATGCTCAAGGTGGTGCACAAACCTTTTTAATGGCCTTAAGTTGCTCGTTCAATAAGTAACGACGTTGCTCGCCACTTATCTTCTCCTCAATTGCCTTTGCTATAGATTCCTATTGTAATCATTTAAAGGATAGTATCAGCAAGGCCAATAACCTTAAATAGATGAAAATGAGGAATGCAGGTGATTTTTTTGGGACCATTTGACCACTCTCCAATTGAAAATTTTCAAACATAGCCCTTCTTTCAATCACTTTTAGCACATCGATAAGTAGCACCATGAATGGAAGTTTTTTTTTTCTTTTTTTAATAAGAAACCAATCTTTCATTGAGAAAAATGAAAAGGAGAGCAAGAAGGACATACAAAAAAACAGCCCATTAAAGAAGAACCATGAATGGAAGTTAAGAGAATGGATTCTTCTGATATCATAAAATCTTTATTTTTTTTTTCGTGCTTCAGCAAAGAGGATCCCAAAATCAAATTCTCAAGGGGTCTCTAGCCAATGGGCTCAGAGTATGCAATTCTTTTAGGCAACCATAGCTATTAGGAATTTAAACATATACATTTAGAACCTATTTTATTACAAAGGAAATTAAAACCTCTACATTCATTTGAACATGGTAAAGGACTAGTCTTAATACATTGTTCAAAATGTCAAATATCAGGAAAATATCAGAACATACCTGAATCTTGTTTATTTCCATCTCCTTCTTCAATAACTCAAGTGTAAGTTTCAATCGTTTATATACCTAAGTCAGAGGGAGAAAAGGAGTAAGAGAATCAGATAGAATAGAACCAAAGAAATAAGCTGCAAAGTTAATTGATGCTAGACTGCTAGACTGTGAAAAGTTAAATCCCTGACACATTCAGATCAATGAAGATGATTAATCTTTTTGCCCAAAAAACGTATAAAAATAAAAAATCTATCTTTGCAAGGATGCACCCAACCCAATAAATACCAAAATTTTTAAGAGTCTGTCAAATATCTGCTTACATCTAATTCTTCAAGCACTTGCTGGCATTGTAATTTATTTGCTCCAGATATTGCCGCCCCAAAATCTGCTAATCTTGGAAAATTGAAATCGCCAATATGCTGCACATCGCAGAAAAATATCACAATCAAAATAAAAGTAGTCATAACAGCCACATTTTACATATGGCCAACCTTTGAAATGGAAATGGAGTCTATCAAATATCTACTTACATTTAAATCTTCAAGTATGCTTAGATTGTTTTTTATGTTTGGGGTTTTTTTCTTTGATTTGTTTTTTTCCTTTGTTTTTTTTCACTCTTTTTAAGTGGAGGGGGTACCTGGGTGTATGTTTGAACATGATCCCTCCAAAGAGAACTGGTCTTCAAAACATCCCTTAGTGTAGATATAACCTCAAATGAAGTTGCCTTTATAACATCATCATCTTTATTATAAGGTTTATCCTGAAGAAAAGTGGAACAAAATTAGCAACAGAGAACAAATTCATTCTCAAATGAAACCTAAAAAACGATTCAATGGGGAATGTAAAACCCCATACCTTGAGATGATCAACTTTCACAGTTAGGGGCTCCTCGCTAACCTATTCAAAAACCATAAATATCATAAGCTCAGTAATTCAAACAATCAAATAAAAACCTGATACAAAATCGTTAAGAAAAAAATATTGCAGTGCAATTTAAGTACCCTTATGGGTCAGATGAGCATATGGCTGGGGAAGAGAAAAGGCAGAATGACTATGTATTAAATTATTCCTATTACCATCTCTGTAATTCGGAGTCTTCTATGACCAATAAGCACCACCTGGTCTCCTTGAATACTTGAAATCTGAAATAACAATAGAGAGAGTATAGAATCAACTCATTATGTACTAAAACATAGGGCTTCCTGCTGCAAATTAAATAAGGGGCAAAAACTAATACAAGTACCTGGGCAAGTGTGCCAACTTCTTGAAGCCTATCATATAATTCTTTGCCTTTCAAATCACTTATACTTTTTTCTGTTTCACTTCCAGAAACTAAACTAGGATCGGTCCCTGGTTCATCCTTAAGAAGGAAGGTACCAGCATATGGAGCTTGCCTTCTTCTGCTTTCTTGTAGAGCTGCCAATAGTTTAGGATCCTGCAATACATTGCACGTATCATGTCCCTTCCCCACAAACAAGTAAATGCCTCTAATAAATTGGTCCATTAGCAGCATACTAATTGATGTAAATTGAAATATAAACAGCATGATACCAACACCACCAAACGGAACTAAAATATCAAAGTACACGGTAGCTCTTCAACTTAAATGACAAGACAATGTAATCCAATTGTGCCAAGAACTTATGCTACCTTCACATAAATTGGCATGTAAAATCCAGGAAATAATGGCCTGTGAGGCAATGGCAACGCCAAGACCTGTCCAAAGAAAAAAAATTGGAGGGGAATTAATAAGAAAGTTAACATCAATAATCTCGTTTCTTGGTTTTTTTAAGAAAAAGATCATTCTGGATCAGTCAAATTAACAATCAAACCGCGCTAAAACAAGAATAAAACTTTTATGGCAAGAGGAGAGTTTCACCAAAATACTAATGTATCATATAACTTAGTCTAGTTAAACCCTCCAAACTCAAATATATCATCATAATCATGAAGTTTTATCCTTTTGTATTCTTCTCTTTTTTCTCTTCAACCCTTCAGCTCAGCCAAGTAAGCCCACCAATCAAAACACCAAATTCAATCCTCACAGTATTCAACATCACTGGCATTTCAAAATTTCTTACTTCCCACTCCTCCCTCACCAATTAAACAGAAAAATCAATTCAATGGATGGGGAAAAGAACATGTTTCTCCTTTTCCTTTGCCCTCCTCGTCCACACATCGAATGAAAATCAAAACTCAATACCAACCGTCAGATAATCCTCCGGTCGAGGATTCGTCGGAACAATAGCAGATGAAGATTTCGCCTCAGCATCCTCCGCCCCGGCCTCCTCCGCCTTGGCCTCCATTTCAACCACCTGTTCCGACCCATCACTGGCGTCGGAGCAGAAAAACGCCCGACCACACAACTTCGAGTTTCTCCCGCCCAGTCCTCTGAGAGACCCAAGAACCCTAGCCAGAGGCGAGGCCGACTCGGTCGCCGGCCGGAGACTCGGGGCCAGATTGTGGAGCCGGCTCCGGAAGCATGAGGAGTTCACAACCTTCAACATTGAATTGGAATCGAAAAAATATGCTATTTCCTTATGGGATTCTTGAAGCGAATTTTCAGTTCTAATTCAGGTGGTGGTCTTCTGATCGGCAACAACCGCCATGGACGGGGAAGAGCTCCGCTGAAAAAAAAAACCCACAAGTAGGTTGGTATTTTTAAAACCCTTCGTAAACCCTCGGTTAGTTTGTGATTTTACTGAAACACCCCTGGTCGAAATTGAGCAAAATTACCCCTAGCCAAACCATTCTTAATTAAAGGCAGCTATAAAAGTAATTGACAATTACCTCTCTTTTTTTTTTTTTAAACAATAAAATCGAGAATAAACTCGAACCTCCGACCATTAGAAGTTGATATGAAACGAAAAATAGAACCACGAACCTAAAGAAAAGCAACGAGTGACACTAAATTTATGTTCAAATTGGCTGTCTCAAATTTAATTTAGTAATAATATTATAGATTTTTTCAAATTATAACATAAAATTTAAACAAAACAAATGTTTTATTTCATATCTCACTAATAAATTTGACCTATTTTTAAGAGCATTGATTGAATACTTGAAAAACAGTGGATTGAGTTCACTTTTCGAGTTGGTTTTTCTTTTTTTCTTTTCTTTTTTCTTTTTGAAAAAACCTTAAATAAAACTAAAATCAAGAAAAGTCACTTGCAACTATATTATGAATCCAAACAGCAAAGTTAGAAATCCATCCTTCTTCCCCATCGTTGTGCGTCGATCGAAACAACTTTTCGAGTTGGTCATTGCTTTTAGAAGTTGTAAAATAAAAATAAAAAAATAAAAAATAAAGACATTAATTTTTAATGGTTATTGCTTTTTCTAGTGAAAAAAAAGTATTTAAAGTTGGGTCAAGATTTTAAACTTTCTGGATCATTATATTTTAAYCCATAAACTTTCAAAATATATATTTTAGTGGTTAAACTTTGAGAAATAACTTCGTTGATATTTCTGCTCGAGTCAACTTAGTAGTTAATATCCATTCATAATTACTTTTAAATTTGAAGAACTAAGGCAGACATTTAGAAAAAGTTGAACTATAAGATCTACCAACACGACCAAGAATCCTGTTACAAAATTACACAAGTTGCATAAATCCAAGTTCTATAATACATTCACTTGCACGATTGAAACGTACGTTACATAAATTTGCCAACTCGAAACTACAAAAACTAAAATTTATTAAATCACGAAGTAAACTAGTGCCACTTTTAAGCCTGCAATCCTTCAAGAATTAGAATTCTCTTCCTCTTACATTTCTCTGGTATCTTATTCTTCTGCCTTTAACAAACATTCAAGTTGCTCTCTTCTTCCTAAATAGTGTCTGCTGGAATCAAGAAGTTCCTCGTTGGCTCATTTTCTCTTGTTTCCATCCAGCCTGCCACATTAACATCCGAGTCAAATAACATATTGACATAGCCATAAAGCCAAGATAATAATACAAATTTGTATACAAATAGTAACCTACCATTCGTTCGGCTAAATTATAAGTTTACAAGTTTATTCTCTGAACTTTTAAGACTGTGTCTAAAAGATCCTTGGACTATCAATTTTGTGTCTAATATAACTTTAAAAAAGTGTAATTAAATTTATCACTATCGATTTTGTGTCTAACAAGTCCTGACTTATGAGCAATTTTTTTTAAAATTTATGGACCTATTAGACACAAATTGAAAGACTATGGTCCTATTAGAAACAAAATTCATATTGTGGCAAATAAATTCATGAATTAGATAAAAATCAAAAAGGTTAGAGACCTATGCAAAATTCAAAGTACTTATTAAACACAAAATAAAAAGTTATTAGGGATGACACAAAGTTGTCAATTCAAGGATCTATCCGACACAATCTTGAAATAACTAGCCATGAGCTAAATAGCCTATTCTCAAGCTCATTTGACCGTGCTGCATCGAGTCCACAGGATTGAAGCATAAATAGTGTTATTAAAATGTTCATAGAACAAACCAATTCCAAGTTACACCTCACAAGCTAGAACTTCTTTAGCACATAATCACACAGCAATGGCCTTTTACGAGGGAACTTGTTCAATGAAAATATGAGACTCTATTCCCCAATCTGATCCTGAAAAGTAAAGTCCGATCAGCAAACCCTAATTGATAGCATGGAGCAATTATTTCACTGCTCGTGGCTTGGTACTTTGTCCCCCAAGTATCACAGAAACAAGTTCTACTGCATACATGTCTGCATCTTATCATCTTATCATGTTCTTTCCATTCATCTACTCATGTAGGTAACCTACATCTCTTAAATTTGAGACGTTTAGAGTCGTAAACCGAAATCATAAGACTAATCTAATTTCCTCCACAGCAAGATAGCTACAAGAGGATGACAGATGCAGTTTGTGAGCGACAACAAATTTCATGCAAAACAATTTCTACGAGCCATAAATATACATTCACATTACATAACGGTCAATGCTACAGAATTATTGCGTGTGTCACACCTAATGGTAAACAGTTTGCCTGGTAAAAGTGAACAAAAACTGTACTCAAGTTTAATATGGTAGAACAATACTGGGGGGATTACCTATTCCAAACTTTTCGCCAACTCTAATGAGATCCCGCAATTGTCAGAAATAGACACTATCTTCCAGTCTGGACCGTTTCTTGAAGCCAAGTCAATAACCTGTTAAGTCTCCTCTTCACTGTCCTCTTCATAGTCGGAATCTGAATCATCATTCCGGGGTTGTATAAGAGAATTCATATCGAATGTTGGTGCAGTTTCCATCTCCTCCATATCAATGGTGTCATAGGTCATCCTTTCCGCAAACTTTTCATCAGAGCAATTGAGGAGCCATGAAAGAGAGCAGGTAATTCCCTTCTGCACAACCTTCCTATGTCTGGGCTTTATTGTGGACTCCAAACCATAAGTAAAGAATGCAGGAAAAGTGACCAAGTCATCAAGAGGCCTTCCCATCTCCATTTGGAAGAACTGGAAGCTGTGTTTCATTATGTCAAGATTCAAAGCAAGCAATTGGGGGCAACCTATAACCATGTTCTTTACTTGCACCAAGGAAAACCCACAACTCTTTAAGAAATCCACATGGTTGATTACAGCTGAACTGCTAAGGCTAACAATTTGTGGCATCTTTCCGATAATAGTGCCAAAATTATCATCATCCAATTCAATTATCGATTTCAGTAAATTCCTTTGACTTAGAAGCTTAGTTTCAAGGTCCATTCCTATGATCTCGGCATACTGTGCTACTATAGAAGAAAGGTATTCTTCTCTTACATTAAACTTCAAGAGCATTTGGATATTGGGTTTGACCTTTTTTTCCAATCCAAAACCCAGAATGTGTGGTCGCTTCTCTATTAACCTAGCCACTGCTAATCTCGGAATGCCCAAACTTTCGAGATATTCAACAAAAGGCTTGATTACACGAGCAACCCTCATTCCTAAAATGTCAGGGTATTTGGTCAAAACCCCTCCAATTTCTTTTCTTGCCACTCCAATTCCTACCAAGTATGCCACTGAAGTGCTCATGGTTCCCTCAAGCTTGAAGCCCAGTACTTCTGGATATCTCTCAAGAACGTGTGGGATATCATTTGGCTTAATATCCATGCCCTGAAGATACTTAACTACTGGAGCAAGGTCAACAACAACACTAGCATGGAGGACTTGTGGATACCTCCTTAAGAACTCGGTGAAAGTAGATTTCCTAACACCCAATTTACCAAGATAATCAAGCACTGGTATCATATTTTTCTTAACACTGCAGCCAAGAACAAGTGGGTAGTTATTTATATCTTCAATTGTAAGTCCCAATTTGAGAAGAAAATCAACTCGTTCCTTCATAACATCAACTGTTACAGGAAGCTCCAAACCATCAAGTTCATCAGGAACAATACCAATTCCACATAAGAACTCGTAAACCTTTGCACGATTTTCCAACCTCACATTCTTCATCTCCACCAAGCTAGGGTGACTGTATAATGATGAAGCACTTCCTTCTTTTCTACCCACTCTAGTGCTGGATGGCTTTGATGTAATAGTTGAATGCAGTGATTTGGATACTGTTCTTCTATCACCATCAGAGTATTGGAGCCGGGTAATCAAACCCCTTCTTCTATCACGATTAGAAGGCGTTTGGAAAATTGATGTGGTAGTAAATGTGAACTTACAACATTTAAGAGTAGGCATCTTAGGTACTATGATGGAAAAATTAGGTTTTACCACACCAGCATGGCGTCTTATCATCATACCTCAAGGTTTTATACCCCCAGGGCACCTGAAAAGAAATGGCACATATCAAGAACCATGTAGTTACTTTTTAAAAGTTTATGGACTAAAATAGATATTTTGAAGGATCAAGGTCCAAAATGTGTTACATTTGAAAGTTCAATAACCAAAATAGAAAAAATTTGAAAGTTCGAGGACCAAAATGAGATTTAAATTAAAAATTCTTCATAGAATATTTATGAAGATCAAGATATATTTTAAAAAATATTGAACACGATAGATTAGTGATACCCCTATTTAGAAGATAAGTAAACAATACTAAAATTCACTACAAAATGGATTTAGGTTTACCTCCTAGTTCACATATTGGAAGTCCAAATCCTCTTCCAGAAAGTATCACATGGTCCAAATTTTTGAAAAGTTAAAAGAAAATCAAGCATAAAAGAGAGAGATGAAGAAGTAAGAGGGGAAAAAAAGGCCACATCAACTTGTTCTTTTAAATATTTGGCCAATAACAAAGAGATCTCTCCTTGGAATTCCTCTACATTGCAAACTGAAAGGAGTTCCCTCCTCACCGTTTAAGACAAACCACTCTACTAAATGTATCTCACAAGCCCTTTGTTTTTCAAACAATAAAGGATCTTTCCAATAACAGATGAAGGAGAATTAACCTCTCCTTCATTTTCTGCAAATTCAGGGGAGAGTCCTAATTCAATTCGTTTAATATTGTCATTCTGAACAATTGGAACGGATACAGATAAGATTAGAACAATTTTCAGAGGCACAATGTTACAGAAACACAATGCTAAAGCATGAGATACATTCAGTTTGTTGCCTCTTCCATAACCCTTGAAAAGAAAAAAAAAAAAAAAGGAAATCATCAACATGTCAATTCCTTTTTGTAAGAATTTGCATAGAAATACCCCAAATCCAGTCGCGCCCATAAAATTAAGGGGAAACAACATTCGAAATTTCAGTTCCACTGAAAGTAAAACACGTTCCACAAGTAAAATTAAGTATGAAAACAAACTCACCAAAGATTTCGAAGGCCTGCGATGGCCAAGAGAGTGGAATGTAAGAGGCCGAGAAACCGAGAATCTTGCGAGAGAGAGAGCGGACCGTAACGTGAATTTTTCAACTGCAGTAAAGAGAAGCGGAAAAATGAGTCGCCATGGAAGAGAGTTGAAGCAGACTGTAGAATAGATAGGGTTATTTTTCAAAAACATTGAAATTTGGAAAACTATCGCCTAATCGTAAATTCGTAATCCCAAATTTGCATGCTAACCCACCCCATCCGGTAATTTTGAACTTTTTTGGTTTAATTATCCTTAGTCTAAAGTTGATTTTAATTTAGCCTGCATATCTTAAAAATTTAATTAATTAATTCGTTACAAATATTTTGGTTAAATCTCTTAAATTGTTATTTTTATTAACCAATGACAGGTGCGAACAAATTTTTTATGCGATATTCATTTCAATAGAAAAATAATAAAATTATGTGATATGATTAAGTTATCATATTATAAATGTAAGTGATAAATTGGTTTAGTTTTTCTTCTTTTTTTTTAAGAAAAAGTTGATTATTATTGTAATGCATCATATTTGTATTTTAGATTTGAAGCGTCACGAGATAACTCTCAACATTTTCCTATATTGCTAGAGTGAATATAACTATCTCCAACCAAAAGTCGTGAGTTTGATCATCATCCCCACATGTACTAAAATAGGAAAAAAACAAAATATTTCTTTATATTTCCTACCGATAATATTGTATCTATAAACTAATAAAAGTTATCGCTATATTTTATAGAGTGAAGTTTCCAGTGAACGTACATTTAAAAAAAATTGAAGTAAGTTAAACTTGAGTTTGATTGGATTAAATTGATTTTGTAAAATTTTTTTATTTTTTACGTGCCACGTATCAACATCGGATCATTACTCGTCTAGATGAAGAGAATTGCTGGATAAATCTTATCATTTGGACAAGTCCAAACAACTCGACAAACGAAGTCGAATAAACCTCAAGAAGTAGGTGTGTAGATACAAGACATTAGACACACTCCTCATTAAGGTGTAGTCGAAAGCTCACTTTTATAGAAATAGAGATCTTGGTCTAGCTCGTAAGTCATATCCAAAGTCCGAACTTCACGCACTAAAGTTGATAATTTTCTTCATCAAACAAACAACACCAAAATTACATATAAACCGTTATTCTATGCCAACTTGTTTTTATCTTGTATTATAAAATATAAAAATAAAAAATCTTGCCCCCACCATCCCCAAGTTCTTCTTGTCGGTCTTCCGACTGAAAAACATGAACGCCGTCAATCGTCTCCCGTGGAGAATTTTCCCGGCGAAAATTGATCGGAAATACATTTTCTCAACAACCCATCCGCCGCTCTGCACTTACAATTCAACCTCTACGGCGTCCTCGTCGAACGATTTCGATCCACAAATAATCTCAGAGCTAATTTCCCGGCAACAGTGGTCGAACCTCAAATCCCATTTCAAGTTCAAAAGCCCCATCGATTTTCTTCACCTATTGCTCGGTTCAGGAGCCGTCGATCCGCTGCTCGTCCTCAGGTACTTCAACTGGTCCCAGAAAGAGCTTAAAGTTAATTACAGCATCGAACTATTCTGCAGACTCTTAAATTTATTAGCCAATGCCAAATGTTACCCCAAAATTCGATCGTTTCTCGATTCTTTTGTCAAGGGAGAAACAAATTGCACGATTTCTTTGATTTTTTATACGCTTTCGGTGTGTGGCGACCAATTTTGTGCCAATTCGATAATTGCTGATATGTTGGTGCTGGCATATGTGAAAAATTCGAAAACTAGTTTGGGATTGGAGGCGTTTAAACGATCTGGTGATTATGGGTATAAGTTATCTGTATTATCTTGCAACCCATTGTTGAGTGCTCTGGTGAAGGAGAGTGAATTTGGGGACGTGGAATTTGTCTATAAGGAGATGATTAGGAGGAAAGTTAGTCCTAATTTGATTACATTTAATATTGTGATTAATGGGTTGTGTAAGGTAGGGAAATTAAACAAAGCTGGAGATGTAATTGATGATATGAAAGTGTGGGGATTTTGGCCCAATGTGGTTACTTATAACACTCTCATTGATGGATACTGTAAAATGGGCAGGGTGGGGAAGATGTACAAAGCTGATGCCATTTTGAAGGAAATGGTGGCAAATAAAGTTAGCCCAAATGATGTAACTTTTAACATATTGATTGATGGGTTCTGTAAAGATGAGAACATATCAGCTGCATTGAAGGTGTTCGAGGAAATGCGGATTCAGGGCCTGAAGCCAAGTGTTGTGACGTATAATTCCTTGATTAATGGTTTGTGCAATGAAGGTAAGTTGAATGAGGCAAATACTTTGCTTGATGAAATGTCGAATTCGAACTTGAAGCCAAATGTCGTTACTTATAATGCATTGATTAATGGGTACTGTAAGAAGAAGTTGTTGGAAGAAGCTAGGGAGTTGTTTGATAATATTGGAAAACAAGGGCTGGCTCCTAATGTTATAACATTTAATACATTACTTGATGGATATTGTAAGTGTGGGAAGATGGACGAGGCGTTTTTGCTGCGAAGCTTAATGTTAGAGAAAGGACTACCACCCGATGTCTCCACCTACAACTGCCTTATTGTCGGTTTTTGTAAGGAGGGCAAAATGGAGGAAGTCGAGAATCTTTTGAATGAAATGGAAGAGAGAGGTCTGAAAGCTGATCTAGTAACGTATAATATTTTGATAAGTGCATGGTGTGAGAAAAGGGAGCCGAAAAAGGCAGCAGGACTCATAGATGAGATGTTTCACAGGGGACTACGGCCAAGTCATTTGACATACAACATTTTGTTGAATGGCTATTGTATAGAAGGAAATTTAAGGGCTGCTTTGAATGTGAGGAAGCAAATGGAGAAAGATGGAAGGTGGGCTAATGTGGTGACGTATAACGTGTTGATTCAAGGTTATTGTAGAAAGGGTAAGTTGGAAGATGCAAATGGACTTCTTAATGAGATGCTGGAGAAGGGATTGATACCCAACCGAACTACTTACGAGATAATTCGAGAAGAAATGATGGAGAAAGGATTTCTTCCCGACATAGAAGGTCATCTTTATCAAGTGTCCCGATAGAAGTCAATAGATAACATCGCAACTTTAGAGTGAACTGGATAACGGCTTGAGTGTCGCTGATCAACCCGACATGATCCAAGCCAGCAGACGTTTCAAGGTAATGAATGCATCTAAGATGGCAACAGACACCATCTTCAGAAGTCCTTACTCTTTAGGAGAGATTGTGATGTTGCGCTTTAATCAATCAGGTAATATAGTAGTTAGTTCTTATGCTGATGCCGATATAATTCCTCTCCATAGTTTAGAGAAGAATGCTTCATTCTCTTCTTTCTCTTGTCATCTATAGTTACCTTAACTTCCTCTCCATTTCAGGTCCTCGTTGCAGGATCGGTGACCGACCATAATCCAAACTCGCAGTGAAGATCTGCACTCTGTTTTACATTAAGGCAAGATCTTGCAATACGCTAAAAAAATGTGTCTCTCGTCTTATATTGACCGAACTTCGCTTTCATTGATGTTGATTAGAATATGTAAGTTTTAAGCTAGTCATGGAAGCTGCAGAAGTTGCTCGTGGAGTCGAGATGTGAAATATGCTGATCTGTCGCAGTTGGCTTGTTTAGACCTGCATTTGCTGATTTCATCTCTTGCTACGTAATAGTCGTGGGTAGATGAATGGAGGTTCGACTTCGGGTCCATAAGTAATGACAACTGCTCTTCGATATCCAGTGTCGTCATCTTCAAGTCAGGAGTGAATGTAGCGTCCAAAGTTACATATGGCGTCGGTGGATATCGAAGAATGATATGATGGTCGGGTCGGTACAAAAGGATCGATCAATAGCATATCGTGACTCTTTCTTTTTGGGGTCTTTTTGTCGACCCAAACTCTGAATCTATGTATTTGTTTAAAATTCCTTAACAGGACAATGGACATTGAAGCAAGTTGTATACAATGTTTTTTAACTTTACCTGTGATATTAAAGGTACTCAGATTGCAGCAATTTGTAGTTCTTTGCTTGCTAAGCACATGATCATTGATCTTTTTCTTTCTTCTTTTTATTTATTTTATTATTTTTTATTTTTTTAATAATAACAACATGACCATGAATCTTATGGGTTAAGGTTGGTATTGCTTGTCCACTTTGCTTTTTGGAAATTCTGTAAGGTATTTATGCATTATTTTTTTTTCTTCTTTCTCTGGTACAATAAATATAGGGTGTGTGGATTCAAACCTATGACTCTAAGAGAATTTATGTCTTCCTCGATCTAAAGAAATCATTTTCTTCCAACTCTACAATTCTTGAAACAAAATATCATTTAGTACCATTATTGTAATTAAAAAAAAGGGCATACTTGATATATATTTCAAGTTTCTAATTCTTTTAATGAGAGAAATAATAAAAAAAAATCTTAAAATTTAAATTGAATGTCAATAACTGTTATTTGGGAAATAATTTTTTGTATAATAATAAAATATTTGAAATTTATCATTTTTTACTACTCGATTTCATTGGTGAGATTAATATTTTAATTAGTTATTATGTTTTTTCCTTTTGAATCTTGTGGCTAGTTATGAATATTATTTTGGCTTGGAACTATGAAATATTTAATATTTTTTACCTTGGTGGACATTTTATTATTGAATTTAGATTTAATTTTGAAATCTAGGAAATATTAATTAACGAAATAAAACATAAATAATTTCAATATATTTCTTGTTTCTCACAAAAAAAATCAATATATTTCTTGCCGAGAGCTTATCTATACTATATTAAAAAGGTAGGATGTGGAAAAACATTTTTGGACACTTTTGCCCTTTACTAAATTTACAAATTACTAATTATACCATTAATATATTATTACAAATATTAAATTAATTATTAATTATTAATTATCCATACTATAAATGCATGGAATATAAAAAGTTGGAATGCACAAAGTTTTCCAACAACATAAAATTAATTTTTTCTTTAATTAAAATTCATACTAGAATTTCAAGAGTTTTAGAATTTGAAAAACTTTTGTAACGTTTTATCCTCTACTACTATAAAAATAGGKTTCTTCTACATGTTTTTCACAAGTTTCAATACTTTTTTATTCTTAGTTCCTTCAAACATCTCTCAAAGATGATTCAATCATGAAAACATCTCGAGATATTTGTGACATATTCATCAAGTTGYAAGGGAGGCATATGTTGAATCTACATATCTCGAATACTAGGTTTGTGACATTACCATTCCACAATTTTACAAAGTTGAATAATAGTATATGTCAAGCAATCTTCAAGAATGAGCATATTTACTCTAAAAGATGAGTGTATAGTAAGTATTTGGATTTTTTTTGTTACTATTGTTATTTTTCTAATTAGTGTGTTTTTTATTTGGAATAATTAGTGTGTTTTTTATTTGGAATTTTTCTTTTTTTAGCAATTTTATTTAGTTTAGGATTTGGATTTTTCTTTTTGTTACTAATGTCTTTTTTTATTGTTTAGTGTACTTTTTTTATTTGGAATGTTTCTTTTTTGAGCAATTTTATTTTGAATATTTGTTTAAAATATAGATAATTACAAGCTCATGTTCTTATTGTTGAAAAAAAAAACAATCATAGAAATCAATACATAAAAAAATGTTTAATTAATAAATTAATTATAAACAATAATTTATATAGAATCTTAAAAGGTGGAATATAAAACTTTTGGTCATTTTATTTTCTAATAATATAATTTGAAGAAATTTTCTTTAATAATTTTAATTATAATATAAAATTAGATCAATAAAATAATTTATATTTAATTAAAAAATTCAACATATATAACAAAATGTCAGCTCTAAACAAATATTTAATAAACAAACAAAATATTAAAAAAATAAAATAAAGGACCCATGTTAGGTTGAAATAATTTAAAAATAAAAATATTAAAATACCTATTTACTTTTTTATTAATATATAATTTTTTCCTTTACTTTTAATTTATTTATTTACAAAATATATCATTAACAATTAATTATAAATAGTATATTTAAAAAATAATTATAAATAGTACATTTTATTATTAGTAATTAGCTGTCAATAATAATAAATATATATAAAAATTAATCTTAATTATTTTTAAAAATAATTATACTTAAAATATTTTACGTGAAATTATATAAAATTTAAATTACCTTATAATTAAAAAAAAATGTTACTGCACGTGGTAATACACTAGTATTTGAAAAGACAATATTCTACGTTTGTTGTTGTAAAAGATAAGAATATTAAACAAATATGGAATAATTAAGTTTATTAACAATGAATGAACAACAACGCGTCGCTTTGGCCGAGTGGTTAAGGCGTGTGCCTGCTAAGTACATGGGGTTTCCCCGCGAGAGTTCGAATCTCTCAGGCGACGATTCTTTTCTTCTCTCTTTTTAATTCTTATCTTTTCTGCTGCTGCAGCAAAGGAGGGGACGGCATCGTCATATCTTAACAAATTTTAAAAAATATTCTTAAAATATACTTTTTTTTTTCTAATTAACATTCCTATAAATTTTGGGCGCAGTTTTTTTTTTCCTTTTATTTTTTTCCTTTTGAATAATTATTATTCTTATCAATTTTGGGAAAAGCTTTCTTCTTTTCTTTTACTTTATTATTATCATTATTCTTTTTTTTCTAATTAATATTCCTATAAATTTTGGGCGCAGTTTTTTTCCTTTTATTTTTTTTTACTTTTTAATAATTATTATTCTTAACAATTTTGGGCAAAGCTTTCTTTTTATTTTTTTTCCTTTTATTTTTTCCTTTTTAATTATTATTATTCTTATCAATTTTGGACAAAGCTTTCTTTTTTCTTTTACTTTATTATTTTTTTTACCCTACCCTACTTTTTTTTAATCATTATTCTTATAAATTTTTGGCAAAGTTAATTTTTTACTTTTAAAATGTTACATTTATTAAGGTATTAAGGCATTTTTTAGGTTATTAACGTGTAAGTTTAATGTCAACTAGTATAACTCAACAAATTAAAATATTTATCTGTGACCAAAAGTTCATAGAACTTTAGTTAAATGATATTCATCCAATAATTAAAAAAATGATATTGAAGTGGATGAGAAATATGAGATTAAAGTTGAATTTTTTGTTGAAATGGTTGACTCACGAGAAATTTATTTAATTATTGATCTTGTGCATTGGTTTTTTAAAACTTGCAGATAAAACGCTAATAGCCTGATGTCAGCTTCTACGGCATAAGCTTTAAAGAAGAGAGCATACCAGTCAAAGAATAAACCAAACACCTTTGGTTGATTTTCATGAAAATTAATATCCAGTGTAACAGAACTTTTACATAATCTAAAAACTACAGCACTTCGAAATTTGTTGGGAAAGAAAATCAGCCTTCTCACACTCAGGTGGAGAACGGAGGAAGGTTGGAGAATAAAGTCTTACCTATGAGCCACCTTAGTAGGGACCAACCTTCCATACTAGGCCGTAAATGCCACATTGATACTCTTTTGCAGCGAAGATATGACCCGAATTCGACCATAGACGTTTGACACCCGATCTGTGGGATGAGATCAATAACCGCCTATCAGATAACCTATCGACGACCTTACTTCCACATCAAGTATCAAACTGTATCTCTGCATCACATATCATGTTCTATCTCGAACTCCATATTAAAGTCGAGCTTAAACTGACTTGAGCGTCATAGTGTTTACCTCTCTTGTGTGTGTCTTTTCTTGTCAAGGGCGCTCAAGATCTTTAGTTGTCATACCTGGACCAAATTTGACCTTAATCCATTTCGTTGCGAAAACAAAACTAAAAAAACTAGGATTAAAATTGATTAAACTTTTTTTTAAGACAAATTTGATTAAAGTTACCTAGATAAAAATTGAATTCCTTCTACTAACATGAGTATAATTCAATTAGTTTGGACATTATTTATTTATCTAAAGTTCGAACGTTGGAATGGGTGAACTCAAAGAAAATAATCTCCTCATTTTATAATTTTATCTTTTTGATGATTAATTTCTCCCCATCCGAAATGAGTTTTGAATATCCTTCCTTCTTTGAAGACCATTCAATTCAACAAGTAATCAATTAAACTAAACAAACAGAACTCAAAATTACAATAAAATAAAAAATTAAACTATAAAACCCAACGGGCAACGGGTCAACAAGCAAATCACACACGGCTTTATTTTACTAGTCCTCCCACACTTTGCCTCCCGAATCTTCTTCCATTTCTTGATTTCTCTGCCACATATTTGGGATTCTTGTGTCAATTTTTATCATCAAACTACCATTTTCTTACCAAGATCCCAGTAGGGTCGAGAAAAATTTTCCCATGGATTTCGATTTTGAGAAGAAGCGCATCCAATTTCTGGTGTTCATCGTCGGCACCATCGTCCTCAGTTTCACAGGTACATTTAAATTACCCTGTTGTTTTCTCTTTTCTGGGTATTCGATTATGTTTGTTTCTCGAGAAAATGGAGGGTAACAGAAGAAAGAAAGTGAAATCTTCGTATTACTCGCTAGGTGTAATATTGTTTTGATTTATTGGAATCTGAGAAGCTGGGTGGAGTGGGAGAATCTTAATGGAACTGAATTTCGTGTGCTGATTTATCTTGGATCTTGTTTGAGTTTCTCATAGATTTTGATTCGTAGTTATGAAACATGTAGAAGGCATCTTAGAAAACATGTTATCGCCAATTCCTCTTCTTTTTCTTTTTTCTTATTACATACCAGGGCACCCGTATTGTTCATAATACGCTTCATTCATTGGGTTTCTTATTAAATTTTCACTGCCGAGATGTGTTTAGTGTTGATCTTGAAGAGGAATTTCAATGGTAATATATATTTTTCTATGAGAAACAGTTTCATTGATGGTACGAAGTTACAAAATAGGGGAAGGACCCCAAATCAAGAAGAAAAAAAAAAAAGAATCTCCAATTGGATGTAAGTGAAGAAAAGTAAAGTAATGAACTCAAGAAACCTAGAAAAAGGGACCTCTTTTTCAAGAAAGAAGATGTGATTTCTTTCATTCCAAATACTCCAGAAAAAGCTCAACAAAGTTCGTTCTAAGAAATTTCTTCTCTTTTCTAAACGGGTGTCCAGATAGAGTGAGTGAGAGGAGAATAGTAGGATCAATAGGGAGAGTCACAAAACCGCCCGAAAGCTAATAATATCTCCTCCAAAAAAGCTGCTGCAAAATCACAGGATAGTAAAATGTGACCTTGAGATTCAAAACATGCTTGCAGAAGGTGCACCAGTGGGGAGATAAAATTCATATAAGGCATTCGTCTTGTGTATATTTTTCAATTAGTTGGTGTTATTCTTTTGGATTTGAGCCCCTTTGTATAAGGGAAATCTTGTAGTCAAGTTTTTTTTTTTATGCCCTCCTTTGTATATTTTTTCATTACTCTCAATGAAAGTTTGATTTCTTAAATTGTGTGTATATATACACACACATATAAGGCATTATTCTTTGTAATCTGTCATGAGTATTTGATGGTTTTATGGTTGACTTCCCAAAGAAAAAATTCTACCTTCTTTGGATGATGGTCTTTCCAAATAGGAGACGTCCTATCTTGAGAAAGATGATGCAAAAGGGAATTTGTAAAGAAAATACCATTTCATTCCAACTTAAATGAAGTAATGGCTCCATCTCCAACCTTGAAAATCATCCTATCATGGATCAGATTTTGGTATTTTAGGATAGATTTTCACGGTCCCTTTGCGCGGATGCTAGAGAAGAAGATCTCGGTTTAATGTTCAATGGAGTAGAGCCATATTTAGCATCAATAATTTTCCTCCAAAGGGCAGATTTCTCACAGTGGTATCTCCAAATCCATTTGCAAGGAGAGATTTGTTCATTCTGGAAGGTTAAACCTAATCCTCCATTCTCTAGGGGAGAATGATATTCTCCCATCTTACAAGATGAAAACCCAATTTATCATAATTTCATTTCCAAATAAAGTTTTTGACTCACTGAGCTAAGCTAAATATGGAAAAAATAAGGGCCCATTTGGTAAGGTTCATGTTTTGTTTCTCTCTCTTTTTTAATAAAGAAAAATAGAATCGCGTTTGATAATTGTTTCTCGATTCTTGTTCTTTCTTTTCTATCGAAAAAAGAAATATAGAAAAGAAACATTTTATATTTGGTGACCATTTTTTATTTCTTGTTTTACACAATTTTAGAAATGTTTCTTAAAAACAATGAACAAGAAACAAGAGCAACTCAAGAAACAAGAAACAAGAAACGGGAACATTACTAAACAAATTTTAAGCTTTTCGCAGAAAATTATGCATCTAAATGATGGAAGTTTTTATGTCTTGGATGTGGGTTTTGTTTAGTAGACTGAATCTTATAGGTTTTTGAAGGAATTAAAATCTTTGATCATATCATATCATTAAGTGTATATTTTCATCCTCAAAATTTCACATCTTTTTGTTGTATTCACAATATTTTCTCTCTCTTTCATTTGTTAAAAAAAAATTAACAGCGGAGAAATGTCGACATTTGGTTGGGGAGAACGCTTCATCCCAAAGTGGGAAGTTCACATTCTTGAATTGTTTTGACATGGGTTCTGGGTCTGTTGCTTGTGGTGTGAAGGAGGGGGTAAAGCTCTACTTCTACAACATACAGTCTGCCCATGTCGAGATGGCACGACACAAAGCACTCGAGACCGCATTGGCTGATGCAGTGTCCCAGGGATTGTCTGCAAAAGATGCAGCAAAACAAGCACAGAAAGAGGGAGCCAAGGCAGCAAAGCTGGCAAAGCGACAAGCGAAACGCATAATAGGGCCGATCATCTCTTCTGGATGGGATTTTTTCGAAGCTCTATACTATGGCGGTACCATTGCTGAAGGCTTCCTCAGGGGCTCGGGGACTCTTTTCGGCGCCTACGCAGGAGGTTTCCTCGGTGAGCAGAGGCTCGGAAGGTTCGGGTATCTTGTAGCAAGTCATTTGGGCAGTTGGGTTGGAGGTAGATTAGGACTGATGATATATGATGTTGTTAATGGAGTGCATTACATGCTCAGTTTTGTTCAAGGTGAAGAAGAAAGTGAAGTCCATGAAAAGGCAGCCTACGTCGAAAATGAAGCTTTCGACGACGACTCCCATGTTAATGAAGCTCCTATCTACGCCAACTCTGAAGATTCTGAAGAATCGTACAACTACAAATCTACATCGTCTGATGATTCTGAAGCATACGAAAACTCTGAGTTTAGATGATGAATACTTTGGATGCATAGTTGAATGGTTCAACAATAGTGTGTTATTAACAATTTTACAGGAGACATTCTAGATTACCTGTCAGCTTACATTTTTGTTGCTGGTTCATTAGTGAAAATGGGTAGCTGACTGAATTTTTTAATTGAAAGAAGTAAAAAGCCTTATTTTTGTAGTTAGCTTAAGGTTCTTTTATTGTTCTACTAATACATATTTTTAACTTTAAAAAGTGTACTATAGGTTTTAACTTTTTATAAATTTTTTTAAAAATTCGCGAACTAGACATAAAATTGAGAGTGGAATGTTTCGTCATTTCGTGTCTGGGTAAGGTTGGATACAAATTTGACATGTAGGAGATATAATTAAGATGTAATTAGATACAAGATAATAAATTGGATATGTTAAACAATTTTAAATTTTATGAATCGATGCATAAAATTGAAAGTCGAGGGACTCCTTTTAAAACTAAATTTGTTTGGTAAGCATCTTAAACATTCTAAGAGAAAGGAGAGAAATTATGTAAAAAGTCGAGAAATTCAAAGCTAAGGAATTATAAAAAGAACCAGATAAAAATAGGGGAGAAACCCAAATTTTCATATCAATTTTATAATAAATATTGCAATATTTATCTTAAATTTATATAAATATTACCCTTTTTATCTTTCGATGAGTTTTTGTTAAAAGAATCGAAAAAAAAAGAAAGGAAAAAAAAACCTCAGGTGCCTCGTATGACAAATATAAAATTAACAGAGTTTAGAGAAAAAAAACATTAGTGTGGCTTTTAGTTTAATTTTATGACTTTGGCAGCATTAATCAAACTTAATGGAAAGTTTAGCAGAAAAAAAAAGGAAAAAAATGGTAAAAACCGCAACACGTATAAAGTTTAGGGTCAAATCTAATGAAATTGAAAGCTTAGGCGATTATTGCAAAATTAGGAGTAAAAATTGAATAAAGAAAAAACTTTTTAGTCAAAATGTAGTTTTGACTTTGGTTAATTTTTACATTTGTAATTTTATTTCTATTAAATTTAGTTTGCAATAGTCGTTTAAAAATGATTTACAAAATTTCGTAACAAAATGTTCATACAATAAAATTTTTTTAATACAAATTTATGATCAAATTTCAAAAAGTTTAATAAGGGAAGTGTTACCTAATATAAAAAAAAAAATCAAAAACGAAAAATTTGACCTTGTTAAAAGTAGAGAGACCAAAATAGATATTTCAAAAATAAAAAATCAAAACGATCAAAAACTAAAATTAAATAAATCAACGAAAGTAGAGTAATATACATAATCTACTATTGATTTATTTAATTTAAACCAACATAAATATAGTTCAACTATAATTAATATCTATTTTTTTTTTTAGAGATTTGGAGGTTGGATTCTCGATGATGAAATGGTTGGTAGTAAAAAAAAATCAACATAATGTGTAAACTTTTATATATATATAGGTGGTAATTGGAAACGAAAAAAGAAAATGAAGTTTATTTAAATTGTAAGAAACGCGCGAGCACGCGCCAAAGAGAAAGGAAGCTAAGCTGGCTTAGGCGCAGGCGAAGAGTGGGAAATGGGCGCATCGCCAAATCTCAATCTGCGCTTCGCTCAGCCACTCGACCTTCCATTTTATAAAATGGCCAAAGCGCAGCCGAGCCATCGCAGACCCTCTTCCCCAATCTTCCCCTTTTCTTCTCTCCCTCTCTCCACTCCACAAATCACAAGCTCGCTCGCTCGCGGCTCTGCTCAAACTCAGCCCCTTTTCCCCTTTTCAACTCAACTCCCTCTCCCTCCCGGCTTCGATCCGGCTCAGATCCCTCCCGCGCCGCTCCATCGCTCCCTCACCCACTTTCTCCACGAACCCAACTCGATTTCTACTCAATCTTTCCCGCTAATTTGAATTTACCCTCCTCATCTCACTCGCCCAGGTGGTTGATTTGAGTTTCTGTGCGAGTTGGGAAATGGGTTTCTGTTTCTTTGGCCGGATTTCTGGAGGACCCTTTGTTGGGGGTGTGTTTTTGACAATTGGGGCCGCGTTGGAATAAGGACTGGGCCGTTGGAGTTTCGGCTTTCAGTTCCATGTATTTCGGGGTAAGTTAAGTCGTTAATTTCAGCAGCTGCTTAGAAGTTTTGTTTTTGTTTGCTCTCGTTCGGATTGTAGTTAGCATTAGCATTTAGTGTTTTGTAGCTTGATCGTCAGTAAATGAGCTGCTTGTACGTGCTCTCATCAGTTTGAGTTGGAATCAAGAAACTTACTGAATGGGGTTGTTTAGAAATGTTAGATTCTCTGCTGGTGAACTTTAATTGTCATGTCTGGAAATGGAGTTCATACTCTTTGAAGTGGTTCTTTTGTGGTCTGTACAAACTTCAGTCTAGGTGATTTTACTTGTTATGGGTACATTCTGAAAAGTTATACGGCATTTGTATAAACGTGTTCTAAACAATTTAGAAGAAAAGAATCACTCGATTTTGTATGCTTGTATGAACAGTCCCGTTGCTTATTAAGGCAAGGCAATTTATTAGTGGCATAATTGAATCTTTTGATCGAAACTCGGCTTGTTCATGTTGTTTATTTTATTTATCCTTCCATTTTTTTTTTATTTTTATTTCGCTGTTAGACAGGGACTGTTAGTGGGAAAGCGGGAAACCAAATGGACTGGAGTGTGAATAATGGATTTAAAACATTTAAAGGTAATTGTATACTTATGTATCATGCACATGATTCTTTTTCATCTGCTCCAAATTATATGGTTTTTCAGTGTTTAGGCGCAGAGATAATGAATTTTATACCATATTATTAATCGTAACTTGTAAGTGTTAGTGAGAAAGCATGTACACGCAAACTTGTTTACACTTTGACTGTTCTTTGGACTCAGGCACAAAGCCATCAACAATGATTTTTACTAGTCAGAATTCCTTTTGTTTGCTTAAAGTTCTTCCATATAACTCATCTAAGTGCAAGTATATTTATGATATATTTTCTTACAGAAAACAATTTAGGATGAAATTTTTTGACACTGGTTTGTAGATTATTAGCTTGTGGTTGGAACTTGGAAATATTGTGTGCGGTGTTTTGCGTGTGTGCTTGTAACATGGAAGAGTAAACATAATTTTTTTCTATGGTCTTGGCTCTTGTCTGTGTATTATTCTTTCTTTGAATATTGGTTCTGTGCAAAAATAAGATAGTACATTATAATGACTGTATTCTTTCTCTGTGTTTCTGCGAGTAGATTTGGAACCCAAGTCCGTGATGGATATGTCGCTCATACCAAACATTGACCCAATAGATATCGGTTTGGGTTCTTCTGACAAGGGGAATCCTAATCCTTCAGCAAAGCCCAGAAAAAAGACCATGACATCAGTCTATCTCAAATTTTTTGAAACTGCTGCAGATGGAAAAAGCAGAAGGTGCAAGTTTTGTGGACAGAGCTATTCCATTGCAACAGCTACTGGTAATTTTGATACTATTTATTGGTTGATTATGTTTAACATTGAAGAATGAATGAGAGTGTTTCAATGATCTGCGAGGAGTAATGGAGCTTCTTACATTGGTGTTGTTAGTTTTTACTGCAAAAAAAGACGCCAAGATGAAACTTAAAAAATTTTATGATTTCATAATTGGTTTTGCTTCAGATCAAGTGTTGAACTTTAATCTATGTTTCTACATGCTGCAAATCCGCAAGTTCCAATTTTTTAGCCCCTGCATGTCTTTTCATTTATAATGACAATCTTCTTTTCATTGGAACAGGCAATTTGGGAAGACACCTAAGTAATCGGCATCCAGGTTATGATAAGTCTGGCGATATTATAAATAATCCCGCACCACAGCCTGTCACCATAGTCAAGAAATCTCAACCTCAAGGGAAACCGCAACAGATTGATTATGATCATTTAAATTGGTTGATAATTAAGTGGCTTGTATTATCCTCTCTTCCTCCTTCAACCTTGGAAGAAAAGTGGCTGGCCAACTCCTATAAGTTTCTCAATCCATCTATTCAACTATGGCCTGCTGAAAAGTATAAAACCGTATTTCGGGAAGTTTTCAGAAGCATGCAGGAAGATGTAAGAGCCTCTTTGGAACATGTTTCATCTAAGATCTCAGTCACTCTCGATTTCTGGAATTCATACGATCAAATTTCTTTTATGAGTGTTACATGCCAGTGGATTGATGAAAACTGGTCCTTCCAAAAGGTGCTTCTTGATATCGCTCACATACCTTATCCATGTGGAAGTGCGGAGATCTTTCACTCTCTTGTGAAAGTTCTTAAGGTGTATAACATAGAAAATAGAATCCTTTCATGTACTCATGATAACAGTCAAAACGCAATGCATGCCTGTCATGCTTTAAAAGAGCATTTGGATGGTCAGAAAGTCGGGCCTTTCTGTTATATTCCTTGTGCCGCCCGTACTCTAAACCTGATCATCGATGACGGATTAAGAACCACAAAGCCAATCATTGCAAAAGTTCGGGAGTTTGCACTAGAATTGAATGCCTGCTTGGATATCTCTGAGGACTTTGTTCAATTTACTGCCGTTTACCAAGAAGGTAATTGGAAGTTTCCACTTGATGCTTCAGCAAGGTGGAGTGGAAATTATCAGATGCTCGATATTGTACGCAAGGTAATTTCTCCTATCTCTAGATTAAATTTTCTGCCTCATACAGAAGTAATTTGCATTAGTAATTTTTTTCTTAGCCTCTTTTAGGATTTCATATATAAGTAAATCCCTCGTCGGAGGGAGGGAGATAGATGCCGAGTATACATCTTCTCTGAGTAAATCCTTCTCGAATAAGAAGAAAAAAACAAAGAAACTTGATGAAACGATAGTTTATCAAGAATATGCAAGAAAAGCACTTCAGACAAATTTATTCCGATAGATGGCTTAGAATCGATAGTTCATACCTCACATGCCTCATCTGACAATGTGTTCTAAGAGTTCAAACCAAAAATTGAACATTTGCTGCACAAACTGATTTGAATTGCCTTAGGCTCCCACAGTTGGATACTATGAGTTATTAATGTTTGTCCAATATAATGATATATCAGTAGAATGTTTACGGTAGTGCTTTTTTATTTTCCCCTTGTCACGTATATAATGTTTGGTCCACGTCCACTAAGTTTACATGGAAATTTTTTGTATGTAGGCAGGGAAATCCATGGAAGCTGTTATCAGGAAGTATGAGGAAACACTTGGAAGCAAGATGCTTTTGAACACTGCCGAGAAGAACATAGTTAATATTATGCATCAATATTTAGAACCCTTTTATAAGACCACGAACAATATATGCACAAATAAGGTTCCAACTGTTGGGTTGGTTCTATTCTTTATGGATCACATTTCTGAGACTATTGGTGCCTGTAGAGAATCTCGGCACAACCCGGACTGGCTAAAGAGTGCTGCAGAAGATATGGCCAAGAAAGCAAAGAATTACAATCATCAGGTTTGCAACATTTTCACATACATGACTGCAATTCTTGATCCTCGAATCAAAGGAGAGTTGATTCCAGAGAATCTTAACTCGGCAAACCATTTGGAGGAAGCCAGATCTCATTTCATGAGATATTATTCTTCCAACCATTTTCCATCAATGACCAGTGGCTATAGTGCACAGGAGATTGAGGATGGGGGAAGTGTCTCTTTCGCTGAGGAAATTGCTAGAAAGAAGCGAAGGGCGAGCATGAGCAACGCGACTGATGAGCTAACACAATATTTATCAGAGCCTCCAGCTCCAATACCAACAGATGTCTTAGAATGGTGGAAAGTTAACAGCACACGTTATCCACGACTCTCTGTTATGGCTCGAGACTTCTTGGCCGTGCAGGCAACTTCACTGGCTCCTGAAGAATTGTTTTGCGGGAGAGGTGACGACATCGACAAACAAAGATATTGCATGCCTCATGATAGCACAACAGCTCTCCTTTGTATCAAATCATGGATTCAAAGTGGTTTCAAGTTGAAATACAGGTCTAGTGAGATTGACTATGAGAGGTTGATGGAATTGGCTGCCACATCAACTGTTGATAGCAGTACTGCTGGTTCGGACAAGAAATCGAAATGATTTTGTAACCATGTCGGAGCTTGGAGGTCAGTTCAAACTTATAACCCATGAAAGATTGATTTCTTAAGAATCAAATTGATTGAATCCTGGCTTCTTGTACCTTTCAGTCAATTGTAGAATTAATACATCTTGTTGTATTGTATGCTTCTTTTTTTCCCCACATATATTTGATGAATTTCGTATAATGTACAGCATATGTTTATGGTGATGCTAACCGAGTAGACAGATTAGTGTCTTGTGATGTTCTATCATAATAGTAAAATTATTTAATCTTCATGATACACATGATGCTCTACTATACATGTTGAATATTTTGTCTTTTCATTTTTTAAAATCTCCTCTCTTTTAGTTGGTCTCCATTTAAATAAAAAGTATATAAATCACTAAAATGTATGATGTATGAAAATATAAAAAAAATCATGCTGATACTTGAATAAAAATTTCAAAATGTCATACTTAACATCATCATTATCATGATCATCACTAATAGGATCAAAACACTTCAAATTTTAGCTTTTAATGTTTTCAAAATATTGGTGGTAGAAATAGTAATGACTTGAATTATCATAACCCAAAATGTATCAACAGCACAGGTACATAACAGGTTAATATTATTTTTTCTAACCATTACAGACACCCAAGACTCGAAAGCCTTCGAATATTCTTATAGAGGTGCAACGCCTCTTATGATCCAAAGAAGGCATAAGACTCAGATGGGGCCTTCGAGCGTAAGCCTCGAACACGACTTGCAAAACTAAAACCTGTTCTGAGCTTTGAAGTTTTTAATGAAAGATCTAGAGGCTGCCAAGTAGAATTCTTGATATGGATATTTCTCATAATAGTAAGTAAGCTGGAGAAATTAAGGGTGCTGTAGTCTAGTTACTGAGAAATCCTACGAAGGTTAACATGGCAAATGTCAAATTGATGAATCTCCCTATAGGGCAGCTCTTTAAACATTAGCCATTTCACTTGGAAAATAAGAAACCAACAAGTGAGTTAACCCTCTTATTTCAATATTAGTGGAAGTTTGGTTTTCTGGACTTTTGATTATGCTGGAGATTTGGATAAAAGAAGGTCTCTTATGAGATGCCGATTTCTATTCGGAAAAAATGTGACCATTACAATTAGTGATAGTATTATCTATGATTGAGATCAAATACATTGCTACCACGAATGCAATAAAACTAGGTATATGACTTGGGAAAGATTTAATATCATTTTCTGTATCTTTTTAGTAACTAAATGGAGTAGAGTCAAGTGGTTCTCTTAGGTGCACGTAAACTAGTTCGGACACTTATGGATATCAAAAAGATAAAAGATATATCTTCCCCTACAATCTTATGAGAAAAGAAATATGGGGAGTGCAACCCATCTACTCTTAAACATAACATGGTCGAACAAAAGTTTGATTAGAAGCATCAAAGTGTACAATAGTGAAAATACAGGCACATCAATCAATCTTTTCATGGCGAAAAACACGACAAGATTGCAAGTGAGTGTCTCTCAATTACCCTTTTTCAGGCTTGGTTGCAAAGGACATCCAAAGGAAATGGAAGCTAGTTTTTGGGTGTGGCAATGGCATGGGGATGGCACACTGGTAAGAGCAGCAGGGAAGAAGCAAGGCATACAACAATGTGTGGAGGGCACATGGTGGCATGCAATGCCCACACTTTGATTTATAAATCACTCCCACTTTGGCTTTAGATGGCTAATGGCCATTCAAAATGCCAAAGGGAGGACTCATCTCCAAACATATGATTGTATTATTGTTATGTCTTTATGCACCACTTTTTGAGATTTAGAGATCAAGAAGAGGAAAATGGAAACCTTACTTTGCCTCCACCATCAAATTTAAACTCATGAAACCTACCATTCGTTAGAGTTATTATATTAGTCGATCCTCGTGACATTGAATTCAAGAAAGAATTTTTTTTATAACCTTTTTTAAAATAAATTTATGAAGAAAAACAAATAAGCAATTTATCAAACAATCCTAAAAACAACTTCAATTTTTTTTTTTCTATTTTTAAAAGTTAGCTAAAAGTTAAAAATTTTTGAACATGGTAAAATATATCAACTTAAATCTAATAAATCTAAGTTAATTAATTAAAATGCCAATATGAGCTTACTCGGTAGCAATTGACACATGTCTCTAATTAAAAGGTTATAAGTTCGAATCTCCCGCCCTAGCAAAGCAAAAAGTTAATTAATTAAGGTATTAATAACTTCGTATTTGTCACCAAATCTCACAAGTCAAATTATAAGACAATAATACTTCGGTACTTACCAATCAACACTGATCTTCTTAAAAATTTGAGAGCTCTTTATTTTTTTAAAAAACAAAAAAAAAACATCTTTTCTTCATTTCTCTCTTCATCTGTTTCTAAAAAATTTAATGATAGTCAAGCCAATTTATTTATGTCATAAGAAATATATAATTGTTGGAAAGCCATTGGATGATGAAAAAGACAAAGGTATGATATATCAAAATATTATAGTTGGATTAAACTTTATTGATATTGGACACATTTCTAACTAATCATGATTTATATTAATGTCAATGAGTTAATGATTTGCAACATGCACCTAATCAAAATCAAATCTAATTAGGAATGTCGACATAGCACACCATTCATGAATTTATGTCATTTCAATATATAAATATAACGTCCACATGCAATATATGCTCTACCATATTGGGAAAACTACTCAAAATACTATAATTAAGGATAATTTGGTCTTTTTTGGAGAAAATTTTTAGTCCGATTTCTTCATTTAATTATAGGAACATGAAATAAAATACTACGTAGCTGAGTGTTCTTATAACTATTAGATGCATAACGATTGAAAAACACGCATCTTTCGAATTCTTGAGAGTCGTTATTTGAGTGATAGTCATATTCGAAGGTGGAGTGGAAAATGAGGATTTTGTCGTAAATTAAAAAAAATATATAAAATACCTAAGATTTTGCCCTTTTTTATTCATTTTGGCCCTTAAATTTTTAGAATTTGAAAATTATTATATACACATATTAGGTAAATTTTTTTTTGGAATACATACATATTAGGTAATTTCTTCGTATTTAGCATCCAATTTTAATTTTTTTAAAAAAGTATTATATATTTTACTGATATATTTAAAACTAGGGTACTTTTCATAACATCTTAAAAAATATGACACTTTTCACTAATGTGAATTCAACTAGATGATCCCACTAAAGGATGAAATATTAAATCATATAAGAATAGTAAAAGTTTCAATATGAAATCCTTAGGTTAATTTATGTTTCGTCCATGAATTTTTAGATTCGCTGTATTTGAATATTAATTCGAAGATATTTTAAGATTTAATCCATCTACTTAAAACATCTAGTCTGAACCTATAATAAGTTTTAGTTAATTTCTTCATTATTATATTTATTTATTTTTTCAAGCTACTTCAATTGTTCTTACTCGACGAATTAGAACCAAAATTAGTTTGCTACATGATTGTTTTTAAAATAGTGGAGACCTGCCAATTGTTAAATAAATTAATTAAAGTAGTCTCGATACAATAGTTATTCGTGTGTGTTTCTCGACACTAAATGTTGTAAAGTCAAACGGTTGTTCTGTGAGATTAATTGAGATGCGTATAAACTTGTTCGGACACTCACAAATATAAAAAAGAAAAAATATATATATATATGTTGACGTTCCTCATTTTAATAGATAACCAAAAATTCCTTTGTTATAAACTAAAACATCATTGCCCCAGTCGAATGTACCTCGAATATCAGTAACGAATATCTTTACCTATTGAAATTTTAAATTCCCACTTGTAATCTCTCCCTTAAAAATATCTACCGTCAACTCGAACACAGCTCAATCTTAATAATCTAGATCGAAGATTCAAATGCCTACCTTCTAATCTCCCTCTCGTGTGGCAAAACCCCATAAACTTCACATATAAAAGGACCCCATTGGTGCAAGCTAGAGCTACCCTATGATCTTCTTCTCTTCTTCTTCGTCTTCTTCCTCATTGCTTCTAAATTTAGCTCAAAAATGTGTTGCCAAGAAGTGCTTTTGGTCCAAAAAGTCTCAGAACTTTACCACAAAATCTCCACTCTCCAAAGCCTCAAACCCTCCAAAGATGTCAACTCCCTCTTCTCCCAACTCGTCCTCACCTGCGCCCCACCGCCACCATCACCGCCACCCATCGACGTCTCGAAGCTCGGCTCCGCCGTCCAAAAAATGAGGTCCCACCTCATCAAGCTCTGCGGCGAGGCCGAGGCCCTCCTTGAGCACCATTACTCCTCCATTTTAGCTTCCCATGAAAACCCTCTTGAAAATCTCTCCATTTTCCCTTACTACTCCAACTACTTGAAACTTGCACACCTTGAATTCTCCATTTTGGAACGCCACGCGCAGCCGTCCAAGGTGGCTTTCGTTGGCTCTGGGGCGCTCCCGTTCACGTCGATCATCATGGCCTCCAAGTACCTCCCGGCCACCGAGTTCCACAACTTCGACGTCGACCCGTCAGCCAACGCGAAGGCTGCGGCCCTGGTGGCCGGGGACCGGGACCTGGAGCGGCGGATGGTGTTCCACACGGCGGACATCATGGAGGTGACCGGCGAGCTGAGGGGGTTCCAAGTGGTATTTTTGGCGGCGTTGGTGGGGATGGAGCGGGAGGAGAAGGTGAAGGTGATCGAGCACTTGGGGAAAAACATGGGCGGCGGCGCGTTGCTGATGCTGAGGAGCGCGTATGGAGCACGCGCCTTCCTTTATCCAGTTGTGGAAGCTCGTGATCTCCAAGGGTTTGAGATTCTTACAGTGTTTCATCCCACGGACGAGGTTATCAATTCTGTTGTGTTGGCTCGATTGTAATGTGTTTAATTAATTTAATTAAACACATTACAAAATTAATTATCCAAAATAAAGAAATATATATATCTACTTTCATATGAATATATGATATATATAAACTATCTAATTGTAATGTTTGTGGAACAAGAAAATATTATTGCATGGTTTTTTCTTGGTTCTGCATGTAAGTTGGATTCAGTTTCCCAAGGAATAAATATGGAATGAATGTGAAGAGAAGTTTAACGAAACTATATATATATTAAAAAACATAAACAACTATCAAATTTTTAATCGCATCGCTCGTCGGTGTATACGAGTTTCAGAATATGAACCAATATGCACCTAAGTATCTTATTCATAGGTGTATACGAGTTTCAGAGTATTGATATCTTTATGGAATGAGAAAATAATTGGTGCATGCATTGAAATATGTATGTATATATATATATATACACTAACGTTGTCACTACAAGAATTAATTACTTTCCCGACACACCAAAATTCATTTGACAAAATTCTTTCTCCCAATGAAATATAAATCGTTGCGATAGAGCTACTTTTTCCCGACGTTTTTTTTTATAAAATATTGAGAAAAGTTAATCCATTCCTGAAGTTTTTTGAAAAAACATCCGCATGTATTCTCGTTCTTCAAGAACACACTTGATGCAATATCGGTAATTTTCTTCCATGATCTTCGATTCGAAACCAAGAATCATAGCTAGCTCACTCTAGCTATCTAAACTTCTATACACCAAACTCTATGTGACAAGAGAAGAAATTGATACTAATAAAATGTTAAGATTTTGCATTACTTAGAATATGGATTCAATAAGTATATATTTAAAGAGTTTTATAATAGTATACAGAGTTCTTTCTTATTTTTTTTTATTTTTATTTTTTAGTACAACATGAGTCCGAATTCACAACTTCTTGATTGGAGATATATGTCAATTACCACTGGGTTATGCTCGAGAGAGTTAATTTATGAAAACTTGAATTTGTATTGATAAAACATAAAACATGAATATAAGATCATTATAGAGGTTAGATTATGGAATGGGTTAGATTATGGAATAGTTAGAGCTTTGGTTAATATATGTATCCATAACAATTTATTTTAGATGTTACTCTTTTTTCACTATTAGTCTCGAAGAAGTAAAAATATTTGAAAGAGAAATCGATCAGTTTTTTTAGCTTTGGAGATCATTAACTTAGTTTTTTTTTTTTTTTTATTTAAAATTTTAATGTTTCTATGTTGGGCCAAGAAAAAAGAAGAGATTTGGGGTAAATGGGCTCCATTTGGACCAGCTACAAAGAAAGCTTGACCTATGAATCAAAATAAACCTTAAATTTATGTATATTAGTACAATGAGTTTGATATTATATAAAAATACTATTTTTAGAAAAATAAAAGACTACCTTAACCCTCATCTTTTTTCTACTATTTGTTTAACAAGAACCCAATTTTATTTGGAAACCTACCACTTAAAACTACATATATGGTTGCACACATATGTTCAAGCATGTTGTTATGAGGTAAAATTCAACACAAACACGTGGCCATCATCTATTAGAATATGTGTATCCGAGCCTAAGCTCGAACAGAGGATGAGGAGGAGAAAGATTTTGACAGACAAGAAATCTGTTGACATTCAGTAGAAGGATGATTTTCTGCTGTTTCTGCTGTCAAATGATCTTGTTCCAAATACTGACGAAAAACTCATTGAATGATAAATATGATAGTCGTAGTGGTAGATTCTCGATTCCCAATGCTCCCCTAAGATAAAAGACAGAATCACATATAACTGGCTGCTGACTGTCATCTCGGCCAAAATCAAGTATCGACACAATGTTAAATAAAAAAAAGTGACATCGTTTTAGATTTCCGTTGAATAATTTATCCGAACAATCACAAGGACTAAAATAAAATATAAAATAGTTTATCATAAAAAGAAAAGGGTAAGAGAATAAAAATGGAGGGAAGGGGCAAGAAGATAATTTGAACTTTGGTTCCAAAAATGCAATTATATGAGAGTATGTAGCAAAAGACAATAATTGAGAAGTGAGGGAAGATGGTAAATAGTTATGAAGAAATGGACAACAAAAAATGAAATGTCACTATAATATGTATTTGAAAGATAGGGGCATTTTTGGATGTATTGAGTTTTTGGATGGAAAAATTATAATGGTCTAACTCAAAACCAAACCTCATCCCATCACTCTCAATGCTTTTAGGCCACATTATGGTGTGGAGTGTGGCATCCACACACCCATTTTGGGACCAAGTGGAGGGTTTTTGCTCAAATTTCACTTTCATTTTTGGCCAATCCACACATTATCATTGTTCTTTTTCTCTTTTTTTTTTTCATATGGTCCATAGAAATTCAATTTTCTTTCTTAGAATTTTGTTTGAGAATTTATGAAATGCATTGATTTAGGATAAGGATGGGTATAGGTGGGGATCGAATTCACATCCTATTGGTTGGAAATATATGTCAATTATCAGGAGTTATGCTCGTTTTGACGATTGGGATAAGGAATTATGTTTCTTATATGAGGGTAAGTGTTCTATCATCTGTTTAGCCGTTAGTCAAGTAAAAAAAAAATTCTATCTCAACGGCTATTCAAGTGAATTCTTCTTTGTTACTTTTCATTAGTTCAGTTAGTATATTTTAAATAATCTCCATAAATTCGATATTATTAAAGATTAATTGGTAAGATGTAAATTAAATTTTAAGTTTTCAAACCCTTTATATACTTATGTATCACGGGTGAAATGATAGCTAATGTGTGTGATTGGTGAATAGAGGAGCACAATGAATAAACTGACAACACATCGAAATGAGAGGGATCGTATCCTAAGACGACTATAGAAGGATGGTCCTGAAAGACTTAAAAACTTAAGTACATAGCTAAGATTATCAAAAGCATGTTTAGAAAAAAAGAAGCACGTGGCATATAAAATGTCAACTATATGGTTACTTAATTTTGGAAGAAATCCAATTTTTTATTTTCTTAATAGGAAAAAAATATCAATCTTTAGGATGAAATAGTTTTCATTTTATTTCATTTCTTATTAACATATAGGAAGGAAATTATCTCATCTTCTATTTAAAATATATATATATATATATATATATATATTATTGCCTTTTTCTTTTTCCAAAAATAAAATTAAAAATAATTGAGTTAAAATTAAAAACATTTTTTCTTGAAAAGAATTACAAGATTAAAAATTTCAAATTTCAAATAAGTTAAATAATCAAAGTGTTACAAATGCCATGAAAAATAAAAATATTGGCAAGTATAATATGAGTTACTGCAAATATATACAGCACAACAAAAGTCTAAATAATAGAAATTATGACAACTAAAAAAGCAAATGTATATATGAAGAATTATATATATATCTAACTTATGAACTAACAATATCTTTGTTTAACTTTTCTATTTTAGGGGAAAAAAAGTATTTTAAAATTACATATTAATCAAATTTAAAAAATGGAAACAGAATTTGAAAGCTATTCTCTCTTTCACAAGATGGCTGGGATTAAAAAAAATCATCTAAAATTCGATTGTCAATAAATAAAAAGTATAATCGTTTTTTAGTACAACATGTGGGGTGAGAATCGAAATTACAACCTCTTAGTTGGTGATATATGACAATTATCGATCATTGAGCTATGCTCGACAAATAAAAAATACAATCATTATCAAATAGGCTTTTTACTCAATATTTTAGTCAAATCTTGTGAGAATAACAACAAAATTCAAGAAAATAGATAACCCTAATCCCAATTAGATTTTGTTTTCATCATAACCCTAAAAATTAATCAATTTCTTACTTCATTGAGTTGCTTGTTAAGGCAAGCAAATGCATGATGCAAGCCAAAAAAAAGGGTATTTTTGTAAAGATTGTGTGGTGTGAAACAAAAAGAGAGGGAATTTTGAGTGTTTGAGTGTGAAAGCAAGAAGAAGTCAAGAGATTCTTGCAACAATTTCCATCATAAAATGACTTCAAATTTCTAGTTAATTAGTACTCAAACATTCCTATATACTTTGTAACATATTGATGTCGATAAAAAAATCGATGACGGTTATTTCTCATTTTTTAGAGAAGTTAAAAATCTTTATTATTAATATTGGTGTTATTTATTTCACATCATTTATTTAATGAAATTTTTCCTGTGAAAAATTTACTGAGCTAAATCAAACAAAATTAAATGGGTTTATTTGATTAGTCTTTTTAGGAATTGCTTTCAATTCGGTCTATTAAATTATTTATTTGTTTATTAAACTCATATCTTTTCAATGATTTAGTCGAAAATCAACCTAAACCAAACTGTTTTACCTTTGTCTATGGTATAATTTAATGTCTAAGATACCTCTATTCCTTTACAGAATCATAAATTCGAATCTCTATCCATATATAATGTAATATATTAAACAAAACAAAGAAAAGTAATGTTCTTCCTCATTAATTAGTGTATGTATGTATATAACATATTTAAAATTGATAAGAAAATATTGACAAGAGAGTTAAACCTCAAAATAATTTTTGTTTAAAGCTTATGATTGCTTTTTAATTCAACATTTTATTGTGAAAATATATATAAGAAGAATGTAATATAGCATATAGGAAAGGGATCTAATTGATTCAATTGTTATTATTTTACCTGAGAAACTATTAAATGAAGCTAACACAATATTCACTTGTAATTTATTGATCGAAACTTGTATTTTAAGATTCCACCATTGATTAATTAAAAGGTAAGAAATAAGTATTAGTTCAATTTCCATGTGAAAAACAAATAACCAAGTAACTATTTGGGCATAGAATACAAAATAAGTCAACAAATATAATTAGAATTCAATTAAATTTGAAAAAATATTTAGGTATTGACAAGTTAGCATCTGTCTCAGGTCCTGACGGACATTTTCTTTTTCATAAACACAAATAATACCTCTTTTTTATTCTTTTTATATATTTTTTCTCCTAATTATCAAAATTTTAATAATGGTTAAAAGAAAATATAATTTTGTTTTTAAATTTTGTCGGACAAGGAGTGGCATGAATTGTACTATTGGATCTAAAAGCCACTTTTTGTTTAAATTTGGGACCAATTGACTTCATTTTAAATTGGCCCTTTCCACATACTTTAATATGACCCCAAAACTCCAGGTTTTTTTTTTCTTTTTTTATTTTTTTTATTTCGAAAGTACCCTTAATTTCTATTTATGTACTTTGGTTCGAATCTTTTTTAATCATATTTTTCACATTTTAGTTTCATGCCAAATTAATTATTTTGATCATTCCTTCTCTAGGCCTCGAATATTCCGTACTACGAATATTATCTAAGTTAATTAATGATTATTAGAACTATAGTCAATTAGTATCTAGATCATTTGTTAATTATATTAACCAACACGACTATTGCATATAAAATTATTATTAATATAGTCATTAATGAGTTTTTTTAATAAAAATATGAAATTTATGATAAAATTTTAAAACAATATATTTATAATTATTTTATAAATTAGTCGGGTATAATTTTATAGTTTCTCTTAAACACACTTTGTTGTAAGAAATTAGAATGGAAGTTTGCAGTACTTTGAGACAAAATTCATTTTGATCATGTTGTTAAAGGCTGATCAAAAGCTAATAAAAGATTATAAACTATTAGATACTTGTAAAAGAATTAAATTTGCTCAATCTATCAACTTAAGTTTTTAGATTGAGTGGTGATTTATTCATCATTTAACATGGTTTTAGTTAGAGCGATAGATCCTATGTTCGACTTGGAGTGTTGAGAATCCATATAAATGAATTAAATTTATCTCACCCGAATGATGGTTTATTCATCTTTAAGATAAACGCCACGAAATTATCTAGTACCTTCTCTTTTAATTTTAAGTACCCACGAAATTAAGCCAATTACTTGGAGAGGTTTGAATCTCTTTCCTTTATTCAAATTTGAAAAAGAAAGAAAGAAAAAAAACTTAGCAAAAATTAAAAAAAAAAAGAGTCAACAAAATAATGCATGAAACATGCATTTTAAACCTTTCAAATCAATTAAACATACAATAATGAACCGTTCATACATTTTTGTGAGTGAAAAATTCCATTATGAGAGTTGATGTGTTTATCTCGTTAATTCGCAAATTTTAGGGAAAAAAAAAACTCCTCTCGAGCAATTAATGAAATAAAAGCAACCTGAGCTTAGCTTTGGGGTGATTGACCAATAGATCACGAATTTCCTCACCCCCATTAATTAAAAAAAATTAATGAAATAAAAAAAACTTAGCCAAACCAATTGAAAACAACCTAAACAATGTCATTAAATTGTTGATGCTACCCGTTAGTAATATCTTTTGCTAAATACCGTTGATGAGTAGGAGAGAGAAATGAAAAAAAATAGTTTCTTCTCTCCAAAATTTAAAAATGTGTCAAATTTTTATTATGGTAGTCAAAACGAATGTTAACGAATAAGCATCTAAGTATTGTTCTTCAAAAATTTAGCCACCACCTCTTCTCTCGGAGTGATCTTGTCACCTCTCAGCCAGATTGCTAGAGATGTTTATTTCAATAGTTCGATAAAAAAAAACTCACCAACCGAACCAGTAATTGGTTTAAAATTTAAAGGCTAAAAATCGTAAAAAAGATCAACCATTATTGTTTTGGACCCAAAATCAACATTGACCGACCAACGTGCATTCCTACCTTAATCCCAGAGTTGAAACCCATGTCATGCATTTACATACATATTTTACCATCAAAGATCAACACATCGTTTCTCAACATCGATTCGGGTCCAAAATCGACACCGACCCACGAACGGGCATACTCCCACCCTAACACCATGGTTAAAGCCATGCCATTYATTCCCACACATATTTTATACAAATAAAATCTTTTTTGTTTCCCTAGAAGAAATTGAAGAAAATAGTAATGATAAACGATAATAAATTTTTTTAAAAAAAGTGGGACCCACAGAAATGGGCATAAATAATGTCCAAGCTCTAAGGATGTTGTCATAGTGCTGTAGAGCAAAAACAATCCCTCCACCCAAAAAAGTAGCCATTTTTGCAGCCATTAGGCTTGTTGGGTTCAGCCATGGAAGAGCCTCTGTTGCAAAAAGTGTGCGCCCTGTAC